CTCGAATGGAGTCAGCACGCCAATTGAAATAAGTGTATTTTTGAGACCTCTCGAGAGGGCTTTTGAGGCACCTCAAAGCGTTGACTGACTCGAGTGGAGTGCGGTGATGGGGGAGTGCGGGGGAGAGGACGGGGCAGTAAGGGATGCGACAAGGACTTGACCCCTCTTTCCTCACTGTGAGCTCACCAATCCGTACCTCCCTTGTCGCTCCGACAGTCCCCGCCGTCGATCCGTACCTGCCGCACGCGAGTCCCAGTTCTACAGGGTCCATCAAACCGTTGACTCGAGTGGGCTTTTGAGGCGCCTCAAACCGTTGACTGACTCGAGTGGGGTCCGCACGCCAAATTTGGCGAGGAAGGGGGTGTGGGGGGGAGGGGGGCTGGGAGGGCGCGGCAGAGCTAAAGAGAGCGCGAGAGTGGGGGGGGAGGGGGGGGGGGGGAAGAGAGGGGGGATGCTTCGCTTCGCAGGGCCGTCGTCCGGTCCGGCGCGGTAAGGGGTGCTCCCTACCTGCCGCACGCGAGTCCTGGTTCCACGGGGTCTATGAGGCCGTTGACTGATATACCATAGACAGGCATGATACAAGTGCCTGCCGCACGCCGGCTGGCATTCTACCTGCCGCATGCGAGCCCGGGTTCCACGGGGTCCATCAGGCCGTTGACTCCCGCCGCCGCGATCGCGTCCAGATTCGGCGTGTGTGCCGCCTCGAGCGGCGTCAGGCCGCCCAGCGACGGCACTGCCACGTCACCGATGCCGTCGATTAGTACGAACGCGACGCGGGTGGTGACGTTCTGCGGGAATGAGGAATAAGTTGCACTTGGTTCGCGATTCGCGGCTGGTGCGTTGCCGCCAGACATGACGGATTGCGGAATTGGCTCGTCTGACACCATGGGGACGATATTCGCCGGAAAACTGCTGTGAAAACTAGATGAGCCGATTCAGAGACTAAATTAGGATGTGTTTTGTTGCGCGATAATGTAGTGAGCTCGTCGTGACCCCTGAAGTGCTGACAAAATATACCCATCCTCGTTTGTTTGTACTTTGTTTGATTGAATTTTCGTCATCGAGCATTCATCCAAACGAGAACGGCAAGTGTTGGGGGGAAGTCTTGTAACGAGGATGTTGTGACTGACTGACGGTTTTCGCTCAAATTCTGTCGGCTGTCATTCATCCGACCGACTGGCTGATTAGCGCAGCCCATGACCAGCCTCGCCCAGACGAAACCTTTCCTCCCCAAGGGCGCGGCTCGGAGATCCAGACAAGCCTCGAGAAGCTGCTCCGAACCAGGGAAATTGGTTCTGAAATGTCAAGGCGTGTTCGAGAGAAAGTATGTGACAGTTTATTTCTGGGATCGCAACAGATGTTATTGTTTCCATTACTCGATCAGTCATTTTTAATGATATCTAAAAACTGAGACTCAAAAAGGGAATGTTTGTTCAGTGCAATCTAAACCAAGACCAGGACCTCGATCGGGACCAGCCTCGAAACTGTGGGGACGGGAACGAGACTTCTGCCTTGCCAAGCCTGACCTAGGAACCAGGCCTGTCAATCCCCCCTGACCGCCTTTGACTGAGCGACGACGGAACGAACTTCCCTTTACAACAATCTTTTGGGGCTCAGTAAAAATAGTTTGGGTGTGGGAAAGCATCTACTTGGGCGTACTTAACACTGCTGTGCTAAACAATGTTCTGGTTTCATTCAAAGACCTGGGTCGAGTATTGGTCTGGGGAAAGCAAAATTGCGTATTGTGCTGTGCTGACGCTCGAAGCTGACCTCAGAATCACAAGTTTTCCGCCCTTACTGACTTAATTGCGTAACGCTACTATTTCCGGATTGTCTCACTCCAATCGACCATTCTCGCTGCGCATTCCCAGCGAATCAGACTTTTCGAATCCGATTGACCCTATACGTGCTTTTGCGATATGAGTCAAAGTTTACAATGTTTCTTATTTCAAAGAAATCCTGAAAGTTACATTCCCAAACCAGTTTAGGGTTACCCTGAATTGTCAAACCTGGTTTTTTTGTGTGTTTTTGTGGATACTACAGTCGAACCATGATTGTTTTGTAGTCAGAAAGTGAAAGTGGTCGGCGAACTTCGCAGCAATTGAAATAAGTCAGGGATGGCCTGCCTACTGCCCTATATTTCTATTTGGGCAGTGCACGGCGCCTGCCCTCACGCTCAGTTACGACTGTTATTATTGTATACATTAGCTTTATCAATTTATGTCCGAAACTATAGTCAGATGCTCGTTATTAGTTTTTTTTGTAATTATTCCCATTCAAGGAACATGTATTTCAGCCCGGGGAAATATAAATCAGTGCACCTGACATGAAATAAATAAAACTCAATCGGAAAGAGATGCGACTTGGGAGGCATCAATCCGGTAAAAAAAAAAAAGGCGGGTTATTGTATTTAGGGCTGCCTCCCCCCGCGAATATGCGTAGATAGTAACACATTGCCCCACAACTCTATCATGTCTGGTCACAGATGAAACACTAAATCGAAAATTGTAAGTACTTGATTTACTAACGTAATTCATGGGAAGTTTTATTGTGCTCGTATTTTTGTCCGTAGCAATTCTGACAATGGTTACATTTGAAAACAAATCCGCATATTCGTTTTATCCAAGAAGGATTTGTTTTTATGTTGTTGTCGTCTTCCTAAAATTCACGCTCAACCTAGCCCCCTTGGACTGTTTGCATCTCTACACTTTGATGTTTGTGACATTGCATATGATTTTCGTCTAAAATATAGGACAGAAAATAAAAACCCCTATGAGATGGCATCCTCTTTCGAGAAGCATCAACCATAAATACCGTGAGATCATTTTTAGGGTTGATTTTTCCCTAAACGAATCCTATATGGGTGGGTTCTATATTTATTTCACGAACAACAAATAAACAATTTAGAGTTTTACAAAATATAAAATAACATTTGAAGGACATTACGCATTAGCTGCAACCATGGAACAATGAACACTGCGCTACTAGCTAACCTTCATGAAATCTCTACAGTAACGTTTCGATCTTTAACTTCTTAGCACTTGTTTCATTTGTGAAAAAACGTGATAGCGATCCGGGGCAATGTGTGACTATCCATGATTGCACTGTAATCACACGTGATAGTTTCGAAATGTAAAGCGATTGTTTGTAATTCCCATGTGATCGAACGTGATAAAGCGGGGTTAATAGTGACTATATAATTTCTCAATATATTGTTGCCCTTATTAGATATGATACGCAGTACAAAAGCGGCGAGCTTTGATTAGGCGCGCTGTTCAGATTTAGCTCGCTGCTCTGTTTCGGCGCGTGCCTCATGTTCTAAGCCCTGAAATTGGCCACTTGGTGTTGCATTTAGGGCGCGTAACCATTTTGCACTCGACGGTTCGAACTGCGGACGGTCCGTCGTGGCGAAATGTAACCGGCTTCGCTGATTATCATTTAGGCGTTCGCAGACGTGTTGGCGACGTCGCCAACCTAACGGACTGTCGTGACACTTTTTCACATTTCCAACAGTCCGCTTTGTGAACCGTGGACTGCCCGAAACCCAAACGGACGGTCCACTATTTCTGGCTAGTTATTGGTGGGCGAATTTTAATGTACAGTCAATCATGACGATTCGTCAACGAATCTAACACCGAAAATGTCGCGACGCAAATTACGAAGATACAAGGCTCTAACGAGGCTACAGTAGTCGCAAAAGTCAACAACCCCAAAAAAGTGTCACATTAGCCTTCGGACAGTCCGAAGTTGCAAAAAAATGATTCGGACGGTCCCGTTCTCGAGAATAGAACCGTCCGCTTCGTTCTAAGCGGACTGTCCGTCGAAAACGTAAAATGCAAAATGGTTACGCGCCCTTACTGCATATATACCTCGACAGATTCGAAACCACCTCAACAGATTCGAAACCAGCCGAAATCTCGGACAAACAAGTTCTCTAAACCCGGAAAACGGCCAAAGCATGTTGACGATAATGTGATTGACGGTGTAGCTGAACGATCGGATTATAACAGTCTGATCCGCAAGGAACGCGGTGCGAAGGTGATCGACAGGATTGAAACAGTCTTGACAATTGTCGTATCGCGTAATCAAGTCGTCGTTTCTCCTTGCCTGCTGACAGCTCTCTTTTCCGTCATTTACAGAGATCTCCCAGCACCACCCTCTGTCCGTCCGTACCTCGTACTCATCATAGGACTTTTCCCAAATTTCCATCTGATTGCGGTTCAGTAAGGTTCTCTGCGCTTTAGAGCTCTATTTCATCTTTAGCATCTTTACCATGGTTTGGTTACGAACCATACCGCTCCCATTCTTTCGTCCACCACACCGACCTGTACATCCCTGAACATACCTCAAGTCTCCTAGACTTTCCCTTGATATTTGTCATACACAGAACTTACCTCCTGCTCAATGCTAAGCGATCAGTATATTCTCCAGGTTCTCTGTCTCCTCTCACATCTATCGGTCTGTTGGAGCGTAAGACTCGGGATACTAGAATCAGGGAACGGTCACCTATCTGACCAAGGTACGATTCGTAGAGCATATCCTGGACAGGCAGATGCGCGAGCTATTTATGAGTAGCGACGCTGCGAACAAGCGAAATGTCGTCTGATTGGCTCGCGGGTGTGTCATTTCGATCGTTGTGTCACAGACCCAGACCCTGATCGACTCCCTGATCGACTTGAATTCCCTCGCTTCGTTGCAGTTTTATTTCAGTAGCGAATTTCTGCATTCAAAATAAAGGGAAGGACGGTAGGTACCAAGGGATCGGAAGGTGTTCTCGATCGCATGATCACAATCATTGCAATAGTTACAAGGATCCGGTGACCACAAGACCATTGATACCACTGCGTATGAGAGCATCTGCGTCCCTCTCGCGTTTGACATCGCAGCCGTGCCATGATCACGAGACGAGTGACTCATGAGGGAAAGATAGCTTGCCTATTATCCTGATCATAATTCATGAGCGCGAGAGCAGCAGCCAATGGTAAGAGCAGCAGCAGCCCATGGTGACCGTCAAGCACAAGGAGGCGGTTCACCGCGTGTCGTCAGATCATTCGCCCGGCCTCCACCAAACCTCCCATGCCCACCATTCCTCCCCTCCCCACCAAACCCCCCCTCCGCATCTACAGCACCCCACTCTTATCAACCACCACTCACCGCCTTACCAGACCTCCCCCCTGCACCATACGCCGCGGGCGACGCTTGCGCATTCCGGTGAAGCCGACGCCAGCCCGCTCTCCGCGCATTCCCTTTCCGCGCAACCTCTTTCCGCGCGCCATCGCCGCCGTGCGCATTCCTCCGCGCACGCGGGTCCCGACCTGCTCCTGTCCACCGGGCGGCTGTTGCTGCTGCTGGCGATCGTAATCGCCTTCGTGTTCCTTTACTCCGAGCTCGAATCGCGAATAGACCTCGATGACGATCCGCTGGGAGAGGAGAAGAGTTTCAGACGGGAAAGCCGAAACGGTAACGGTAACGGTAACGGAGGTGGAAACGGAAACGGAGGCGCGGGAGGGTTGGCAAGATGGGGGTTGGCGGAAGGGTCGGAGGAGCCATGGCGGCATAGAGGGTTGGGGGATTTCGGGAATCAGAGCGTTTCGGATATCCTAAGCGCGGTGATGGCAGAGGAAAGTAACGGGGATAGTGACAATAACGGGGCCGAGGAGAGCGGGGATGAAGAGGCAGCCCAGGCTCGGGTCACTGATCGGTGGTCCGTAGGGTCTGATAAGCAGTCTGATAATCGGTCAGGGGGGTTAGATAAGAGGTCCGATACGAGGCTATCAGAGGTTGGCCCGAGCTTAGAGGAGCGGCGGCAGTTGCTTCTACTGGAGCGTGACCATAAAGGGGTTTTGGCCGTGTCTCACCATAAGCACACGGGACTCGACGGGCATGGGGCGAAAGGACACGGAAGGTCGCTAGAAGATTCGGGGTCCGGCGGTGCTGACGTCAGCGGCAGCGGCAGCGGAAGCCGCACCGGCAGCGGAAGCCGCAGCGGCAGCGGCGGCGGCGGCGGAAGAAGTGGGGCCGGAAGGGGGGGAAAGGAGGTGGAGGAGGAAGAGGAGGTGTTTGATATGTACGAGGCTTCGTTAGACGAGCAGGTGGCACAGGACATCACTATAGTCATCTCCGCTAAGCACACCTTTAGCTCCGCGCCCGCGCAGCTGGATGCGGTGCTGCGCAACACCCCCCCCTCCCCCGTCGTGTACCTGCTCTCCGCGGACATGCCCGCGTGCGTGCGCGCGCACGTGCTGCGGCGGAAGCGCGAGGCGGACGCGGGGATGTGGCGCGGGAACGCGGTGCTGCGCGGATCGCCTGCCGCGGACGGGTCCGTGCAGTACCAGCAGCAGCAGGAGCGGCGCATGGAGATTAAAGACGTTGGGCGCCACGCGAGCGGGTTCGCGATGCGAAACGCGTCAGTGGAGCTAATAAAGACTAAATACGCATTATTCATATTCTCAGACGTGTTCCCCCTAGGTCACCGGTGGTTACAGAAGCTGTATATGTTTGCTGAGGCTAGGGGGGGAGAGGGGGTGATTTTCCTGCCGTTCCTGTGGGAGCAGTCCGGCGGAGGCTCGGCACCGAGCTTCAAAGGAATGATGTCCATGGATGGAATGGTGGAAGGCGGAGGGGGGAGCGGAGGCGGAAACGGAGGGGGAAGCGGAGGAGGAAGCGGAGGGGAGGCCGACGGGGACGAGAGTGGTATCAACGGCAGCAGCAGCGGCGGCGGCAGCGGTGATAACGGTGGCAGGGAGCTAGGGCACGCGCGGAAGACGCACACGGGCAGCAGGTGCAAGGCGGAGGGGGAGAGCATGCGCCTGCACGCCGCGTTTGGCGCAGACATGATCCTGGACGACTTTAGCAACGACGGGAAGCTGTACCCTCAGCCTATAGAGGACCCGCAAGTCGCCGCCGCGTTAGACCCAACGCTGCTCGACCCGAGGGAATCAGCCGTGGGTATAGAGGATCACTGTTTGCTGGTGCGGCACTCGTTTCTGCTGGAGGCACAGGTGTTTGACCCCCAGGTCGGGTATACCCGGCAGGATTTGGATATTGCACTTACGACGAGGTATTTCAACTATAAGGCGTTTCTGGTGCCGCAGTCGGTGGTGGTATACCACCAGCCGTCGACCAGTATACGGACCACTGACCTGGTGTATTTTGTTAGTCAAAGTGGGGACGATGTGTGCACGGCGAACCAGGTGTTTCTGCGGCACAAGTGGGGGGTGATTGTGGGGCAGCGGTGCAGAGGGTTTGTGGATGCGGCGCTCAGGGGCCTGATGTGGGTGGCGGAGGGGGACGCGGGGACGGATATGCGCGCGCAGGTGCAGGCAGAGGGGGGTCGTGGGGGGGACTTGGGCGCGCAGGCGGAAGGGGAGAGTGCAGGGGCGGCAAGCGTTGCTGGCACTGGTGCTGACCATGTTAGTACTAGTGAAAGCAGCAGCAGCAGCAGTAACAGTAACCATAACAGTGACAGTAACAATAACAGTTATGGTATTGCAGGATCTCCTGACACCCCCACCCCCATCCCTTTCCCCTCCCTTAAAGACACTCGCCGCTTCTTCCTCCCAGCCTCCCAGAGCGAGCAGGCTCGCCTCATCCTTGCGTTCTTCTCTCTAACCGGTTTCAACCGCTTTCAAATGCGTCATCTGCCCTTCTGGGGCTCCCTCCCTCCCGCCCCGTCAGTGCCCTGCCTTGTCCGCGATAAGACGGTCTGTGATTCGTCCATTCCTTGGATGGCTGCTGCTAGCGGGTTTGTACCCTTTGTAGAGCAACTCGGTTCTCTGCACGAGTTCTTGGAGGAGTATGGGAGATTGGTGAGGGGAAGGAGAGGGTCGGGCGGGGGAGGTGGGCGGGCGGATGTGGAGGAGTGGGAGCGGGAGAATACGAAGAGGAAGGAGACGGTGAAGGTGAAGGGGAAAGGGAAGGGCAAGGGGAAGGGGAAGGGGAAAGGGAAGGAGGAAGGGAAGAAGAAGGGCGGAAGTGGGAAGGGTGGTGGGGGAAGGAAGCTGCTGAAGGAGAGAGGAGGTGGCAGGCGACGATTGCTGGCTAGCAGGAGGATAGGGGAAAGGGAAGGGGCAGCAGAAGGGGCAAGAGCGGGGGCAGGGAAAGGGGCAGGGGCAGGGAAAGGGCGAGCAGGGACAGGGTCAAGGTCAGGGAAACTGCCTTCCTCTTTCCTGACGCTAGCAAGAGGTGACAGAGGTGTCGAGAGGGAGAGGGAGAGAGAAAGAGACAGGGACAGGGACAGGGACGGGGACAGGGACAGGGATAGAGACAGGGATAGAGATAGAGACAGGGATAGGGGCAGAGACAGGGACAGGGAGGGGAACAGAAACAGGGATAGCAGCAGAGGCAGACGAGACCAGGACAAGGGCAGGGTGGGGGACAGTGGTGAGCGGTGGGCGTACAACGGCTCATTGACCATGCGGTGGCATGCAGGCAGCCAGGGCCTGCTGGCACGCGAGCAGGAGAGAGCGGCTGCCAGTGCCATGCAGCAGCGACCGAGTGACACGAGCGCCCGGTTACCAGCAGGTAACACGAGCATCCAGTTACCAGCCGGTAACACAAGCCGTTTGTTACGCACAAGCAGCACGCGCCGCCTGCTAGCCAGCAGCAGCGACCCACCCCCAGCAGTCACAGGCGATCCGCAGCTGTGGATGGGCCGAGTAGAGGAATTCCCTCCTCTCCGAGTCAACCGAGTGGAGGACCTATGGAGATCATCCTCCCTGCGGGACGGGCAGCTGTTCACAGTGCGGCGCAGCCTCGTGAAGAAAAACGAGAAGCACCCGGGGCGGAGGGCGCCGGATTTGCCAGTGCTGACGCGCATGTACGTGCCGTTCGTGCTCGTAGAGGCCGAGATGGAGGTGCCGATTATTCCTGCTGGCCGGAAGAGCAGCAGCAACAGCAGCAACAGAGGTGGCAGTGGGGATGCTGTGGGTGGTGGTGGTGAGAGCGTGGGTGCTGGGGATGGTGCTGATGGGATGGGTGCGGAAGGGGTGGCAGAGGGGGACAGGGTGGGGGGGGAGAGCAGCGCCAAGGGCATTGCTCGCTCGTGCATGTTCAATGGCATGTCTGTAGTCATCGAAGAAAAGTGTTTTTTCCCTAACGGACCCACTGCAAGCAGTAGAGGCACCCTCCTAGGTCCCCCAGGCTCGCACGTCGGCCCGGCGCGCCCGTGCCTGCGCTCGGCGCGGTACTTCCGAGCCTGGATGTACGTCCGGCATGTGGAGATGGACCGAACGCCCCTCTTCATGTTCGACCGCTTCCGACGTACCCTCCGCCGGTCCCTCTCGGCCCGCAGAGGCGGCGGGTGGATCGACGCGAAGCACATGGTGTGGCTGTCGCGGTGCCTACGGCCGGTGGTGAGGAGGGTGCGGATTGTGCGGTGTGTGGCGGGGACGGGGGACCCGTGCGCTGTGGCGTGGCAGGTGGGGGCCGTGCCGGACGCGTGGAGGTTGGTGCTGTGGGCGTGGCGACCGCAGAGCGTGCGGACGGCGCAGGTGGCTCTGATGGCTCGGGATACTCAACCTGTTGGTGAGTGGGTGAGGAGGGAGAGAGAGGTGGTCGTTGTGAGAGGGTTTGGAGTGTGAAGATTACTGTGGAGGTTGATTGGTCCTTTTCTCTTATCTTCCTCCCCTCCTCCCTCTCCTTTCCTTCTCTTCTCTGTCAATATCTCTTACTCACATACACACTCATGTTCCTCCGATGGGATTTTACTTTGCAGATGATATGGCAGCAAAACCTCAATGGTACTGGTGAAGTTCAAGGGCACATTGCCACCATCCACTAGCTTTGGAGGATCAAGCTGGGTAGGGTTCGTTGGATGGATGTATGAAATGGTGAAGCTAGCCTTTTGTTATATTATTGCTTCACTCTCAGTAAGTCTGATAAAATCAATATCGTACACTTCTACTAGTTATTGTCTCGCTTCGTCATCCTCACATCAGGTGAAGAAACTGCCGTACACATGGGGAGACGAGAGGAGGAATCCCATCCGTTGGATATTTTCAGGCAGTTACTGTTAGCGTGAAACACGGCTGCAGCCGTACAGCTTTCGCGCCACATATGGGCTTCGGTAGACTCATTCCGATTTCTTCCTGGCGTTTCCCTATCTGCCCTGAACTTTGCCTGCCAGCCTTCTCACAGAAAAACTTACACATACGTTTGTGCCAGCCTTCACACACCACAACCTTCACACCTACGGCTTGGAATTGGTGCAAACAACAGCTGCCCAAAACTAATCAAACCTCAAAATCAGCTACTGTAAACCAATTCCGTCACTTGCGTTGCTTGCGCGACTGCCTTCATCCTTCAGGTGAGAGCAGCTTGTGTTGTTGTGGGTTGTCTGTCTCAAATAAATGAGAGCAGCTGGAAATAATTTCTGCGGAGAGTTTTGGGCAGCTCACCTGTCCTACTTTCGTCCTCCAAATGCAGTGGCCTAGTCCTACTATTGCCGTGCTTTCCGAGGTCTTTGTGCTGTGAAATCTTCTCTCGCTCTCCGTTTCCAATTACGACTATCGAGACGTTTTTTTGGACAGCGAGACTGCTATTCAGGCTCTTAGGTTGACATTACATGCCTCTCATGTTTTCTGCACCATCTTCGCTTCATTAAACATTGAAGGTCCGCTCTGATACGTCGGTGAAACAGCGCTTTCTAAGATCTTTAAACGAAAGAAGGTATGTTTGCACATTATTAAGCTTCTATATGGGGATAGAAAGTTCAGGGACCAACAATACCGGTTCAGATCATAGCCAAATGTGTTTAATGCGGACAAGCTATGTCCACTATTCTGCAGGCACTTCTTATCTTTCTCTTTCAACGTTTCCTCATTTCTTTATCTGCTGGTTTCAGGAGCCTCACAGAGATCTTCATCCTTCGTGGAATTTCGGATGCGCCTGACAGGATCAAAAGAAAAGAAACACATTAGGAGCTCCAGAAGAATATTCTCAAAAGCGTTTCGCGTGGATCCAGGCCCTAACATTGCATAAGGCGTCCGGCATTACCGGCTTGTGATTACACGCTCCTGACATTCCGGCATTGCTGGGTTCCAGACTCCAGTTGTATATCAAGTGGTCACTGGCATTCGCGGGATATTTCCGGTAATCCAGGCCCTTCAGAAATCTCCTGTGGGTCGGCATTCGCTATAATTTATCAGGCGACTCAAAAATCGTATTGCGGGAGCATCCCGGTTCAGAGTCACATTGAGTCGAAGCTCCTCCGTTCTTCCGTCCCTTCACGCATTTCTTGCGGGCCACGTCAGCATGGAGCCCGTGCCGCCGCAGCTGAACGTGTCGTCTCCGAGGCCGTTCGATCAATCTGAAGAGGGCCAATCCAACGGATGGGGTTGGCTCGCGTCGCCGTCTGTCGCCGCGTCTAACCTCCTTACCCTGCACTCTCCAGGTACAACCTTTTTTGCCACACCCATCCGCATTACACTCTTTCCTTCGGGTTACGCACTTGAGCGATCCTTTCTTAGTCGCGCTAAACGAATCTTCTCTCCCTAGACAAGTACAATCTTCGCTTCCTGATACGTACCTTTTGAGCCGTTCCCGTGCTGCATTTCGCGTCGCTTTCGCTCCTCCTCTCCTTCGCTCTTTCGGATGTCTTTTACGTACGATTCTCCAACCATTTCGAAAAAGGCAAAGCGCTTGCGATTTTTCGAACACTCCGCAGCAGGCAATATATGGAACTTTCATCACCCGTCGCCGGCAATATATGGGAACTCTCTTCCCCCCCTCTCTCCATTCCATCCCGTTCCTCTTCTTTCAGCCGCTCAGCACCCGTCGCCGTTTCGCTACAACCGCCTTCCTCCCGACGGCTCTGTCCTCCCGTTGCCATCCGACTCCGAATCCAGCCCCACCTCGTCCTCTTCCGCCTCCGCCCCCGCCTTGCGCGCATCCCGATTCAACGCTCCCGCTGCCTCCTCCGCATCCCATTCCTCCCCGCTTTCCGCCGACCCCTCGCCCTCTCACTCCCACTCCCTCTCCCCCTCCTCCCCCTCACCCTCCTCCCCCTCCTCCCCCTCACCCTCCTCCCCCTCCTCCTCCTCCACCACCATCGCCGACCTTCCCGACGACTGTCTCGCGCTCGTCTTTTCTCACCTCACCTCGCCTCGCGATTGGCTCGCGGCGGCGTGCGCGTGTCACCGCTGGCGCTACGCCGCCAATGACGGCATCCGCACGCTCTCGCTCTCCGAATCCGCCATTCACAGCCTGCCAGGTGGCCTCGCCTGCGGCCTCCACAGATTCCGTCAGCTGGCGTCGCTCGAGGTCCCCGCGCCGTGCATGTCCCCCGGGATCGCGTCCACGCTTGCCACGTGTCCGCATCTGACGGCCCTCCATCTCGTGCCGCTACGGCGCGTTCTCGCGCATAAGTTCACGAGGCACGATGTTTTCCCACTGCCTGAGGAGCTCGGCCAGGTCACGCAGCTGCAATACCTGAGGGTTATGAGCGAGATGGTGGCTGAAATTCCGAATTCCGTTTGTCATCTGCCCCTTCTCCGTACACTGCACCTAGATTCGTGCCTGAAGCTGAAAGCCCTGCCCGCAGAAATTGGGCAGCTTGGTGATTTGGAGGAGCTGAAGATCACAGAGTGCCGGGCTATTTCAGAGCTGCCCGAGTCTCTGGGCAGCCTGTCGCGGCTCCGGACGCTGATTCTCAATCAATGCACGAGTCTTGCGAAGCTGCCCGAATCCCTCTCCTCCCTGGCTTCGCTGGAAACTTTTGAGGTCGCTGCATGCAACAAGCTGAACCAGCTGCCCAAAGGGTTTTCCCACCTGCCCAACCTCCTGGTGCTCCGCCTGACCGGGTTTGAAACTCTTCAACCAATCCCGGAAATTGCAATCAAGTTTCACGACCTGCGAGTGCTCCACATGGGGTGGGCGGCAGCAGAAATCCCCTTTTCTTGGTCCCTCTTCCACGACCTTCAAGATCTTTCGCTCGCCTGCCCGCTGACCGAAATCGACGATCTCAGCCTGCTGCCCTTGTCCCGGCTCACCTCACTTGAGGTCACACACTCGCGCTACCTCACCGCCCTCCCCTCCTCCATCTGCTCCCTCTCCTCCCTCACTCTCCTCCGCCTTAACGTCTGCTCCAAGCTCGCCTCCCTCCCCACCAACATCGGCTCGTTGACTCTCCTCCGCTCACTTGAACTTAAGAAGTGCCTGTCGCTCTCCGCTCTGCCGGATAGCTTGGCGAGTCTGCTCTGCTTGGATTCTGTCATAATCAAGGACTGCCATTCGTTGAAGTGTCTGCCGGAGAATTTCGGGCAGCTGGGGAAATTGCGGTCCATGCAGCTGGTGAATTGCCCGGTTTTACAGGACCTGCCCGCGTCTTTCGGGCAGCTCTTGTCGCTGCAGGCACTGGAGATCTGGAACTGCAAAGCGCTGGTGGGTCTGCCCGACTCTTTCGGGCAGCTCGAAAAGCTGAAGAAGCTTCGCATGATTGGCTGTAACTCGGTCCTCGCCCTGCCGGAGAACTTCGGGCAGCTGAAATCTCTTGAGTTCCTGGAGCTGCTCGACCTTCTGCGGGTAGAAATCCTTCCCGGCACATTCGGTGATCTTTCAACTCTGCAGTCACTGACCCTTCGCCTGCCCGGAATCACACAGCTGCCGCCCTCTTTCGGGCAGCTCGCGTCGCTCCATTGGCTTGTGCTGCTCAGCATGCCAAACCTTTCCAACCTGCCCGAGACCTTGGGCACCCTCTCGGCACTCAAGCAGCTGGAGTGTGTGTCCTGCACGTCTCTCCGCCAGGTGCCCGAGTCTCTCGGGCAGTTAAAGAATCTTTCGGAGATGGACTTTCAGTGGATCCCTGTTCCAAGCCTCCCTGCTTCGCTCGGCTCCCTGTCTAGACTCCAGTCTCTGCTGCTGACCGGGCTGACCAACCTGCGTGCGCTGCCCGCATCCATCGGGCAGCTGGAAAACCTCAAGAAGCTGAAGCTGATGAGCCTGTCGCAGCTCTCCACTCTGCCCGACTCGTTCGGCGAGCTGACCAGCCTCCGAATCCTAGTCATATCCCACGTCCCCCTCACCGCCCTCCCTGCAAATTTCACCTTCCCTTCCCTCCTCTCCCTCACCATCACCCACACCAAGCTCTCCACTCTCCCGCCGTCCTTCTCCTCGCTCACATCCCTCCGCCTGCTCCACATTGCACACTGCCCCACACTCCGCGCCCTCCCATGGGATCTTGGCAACCTCTCTTCTCTCCACACCCTCCGCATCCTCTCCCTCCCCCTCCGCTCGCTCCCTGATTCTACCGGATCACTCGCCAAGCTTCAAGAGCTTGAGCTGCAGGACCTTCCAATCTGCTCCGTGGATTTTCTGGGCAAGATGAAGCGGGTGCGGAAGGTGACTATAAAGGGGTGTGATTCTCTGAGGGAGGCGCATGGATCCATGCCTGCCTGGATGAGATCTGCGTCGATTCCACAACTGAGCATTGCGTTTTCGAATGCCCCACCCCCCTCCCCATTCCTGCCTTATTTGAACATGTATGAGTCCAGCTGCCCTGTTATGTGATACTCGTTGCTGTAGTTATTTTTCTGTTATTATTTTATACAGTTGAATAACAGTTTTGCTGTGGCCACATTATTATTGCCCTCCATGTTTAGCAATTGTTGACGTTTGGACAAGGTTTATGACATTTAGTAGGTTAGTGTAGAGTAGCGAAACCGCGCTTCACCGTCGCAACGCCCGACAAAGCTGACTTGGAAGCCCACGCGCGAGAAGTGGAGATTCTTCCGAATTTGCTCGTAACTCCCTTGCATTGCTGACATCTGCCAGGTTTTGCACCACTGAGACTCTGGTCCGGTTCGGTCCAGACCGATTCAGCCTGGTTTTGGGGTGAAAGCATGGTCCAGCTTCGAGGGAAAATTCTGTGCATGGAAGCATCGTCGTCCTATCATCCTTTCTAGAAGCCATGTACACGTCGAGTCGCTTGTACTGTACACACTTGGGGGTGCTGTATAACTTCGTCCACAGCAGACTACTATCAGCCATTCCCGTCGGATTCACTCTGGAATCTGCGTTCCCTGATCGAGGCAGCTTTTATTCGTGAAATCCCCGTCTCCGCTGTAGCCCTGCGCGATTTATATCAACTCGATCCAATCAGAGAGTATCGGCGAGCAGAGTAATGGCGTCGGATGAGTCGTCGTCGCGTATTCAGCTCTACTCTCTGGCCACCCCGAACGGTCAAAAGGTCCGTTACTGCTCGCTGGGGGCTTTCTAGGCAATTTTAGAAATTAGAGATGTCTTAGAAACAGGCCGGCGGTCTGCTCCCTGTCCCCTTTTGCAGCCGTCGGATTTACTTCGCTGGTCCCCGTAGTTATTCAAAGTTATCGTCTGACCGCTTGTCCAAATGAGCATCGCAATGGGGGGATGGAGATTCCGTACGATGTACGATGCGAACACCATCAACAGGATCAATCGCGAGCAGTTCACGACGGAGTTCCAGTGGGTGATTTTTGTTTATTATATATTCCTCCTTTCCGTTCGCCTCTCTCCCCCACTATCGTCTAATCGCCTGTCCAGGTGAGCATCGCATTGGAGGAGATGGAGATACCGTACGATGCGCACACCATCAACATCTTGAAGGACGAGCAATTCACGCCCGAGTTCATCGCCATCAACCCCAACAGCAAGATACCCGCCATCGTGGATCTTAAGGGAACGCCAGGTAAGCAACAGAAACCAGCTCATCAGGATAATTTCGTTCAGGCTCCTGACATTCCTGTCCTTAGCCGTGCCAGCCAATCTCCCAGCAATATTTTACATTCTCCTCTTTTTTTTTTTTTTTCCCTGTTCGCCCTCCACCAGACGGCACCCCGTTGAAGATATTTGAGAGCGGGGCCATCCTGCTGTATTTGGCGGAGAAGTCGGGCAAGTTTCTGCCGCAGGATGCCGTGCAGCGATGGGAGACCCTCTCCTGGCTCTTCTTCCAAATGGGTGGTGTCGGTCCCATGTTCGGCCAGGTGAGGCATTTCATGCCGAACCATGTTTAGCCAGGTGATAAGTCTGATGCTGACATATCTTTGACCAGGACAAGTGCGACCACCCGTCCCCTACCCAGCTTTGGGTTGAGAGCGCTGGAAGACATTACCTCCTTTTTTTCTCACTACCTCCTTGTGCTCACTCTTCCCAACAGTTTGGTCATTTCTTCAAGTACGCTCGCGACAAGTGCGACCACCCGTACCCCACCGAACGCTACACCAACGAGGTGCGGCGGCTGCTGGGGGTGCTGGAGAAGCGGCTGGAAGGGAGGGAATTCCTCATTGATGCTGGATATACCATCGCTGACATGGCCATCTTCCCCTGGGTCATCTGCCTCAAGGTGAGTGGCAAGTTTGATTTGATTTTGCTACCACAGGTTGCTTTGGAGAAGTGGTCGGCTGGAGGAGGGGGAGTTCCCCGTTGGTGCTGGCGACACCAACGCTGACATGGCCAGTGGCCACCTTCCCCTGGGTCATATGCCTTAAGGTGTGCTTTCAACGACACTGGGTGCCAATCTTAACGCGGTTATTCTTGGATTCATCCTCTCTTTCCCCCTTCGGTTCCATCCTTTTCCCCCCTTTCACTCCTCCCCGTTCGCACTTGGCCTTCTCCTTTCCACTCGAGCGCTTGCCCTTTCCTTATTTACACTTGAATCCTTATTCGTTGACGCTCCTTGTTTCCCTCTGTACAGAAACATTATAATGGCGAGGAGCAGCTGAAACTGGAGGAGTTTCCAAAGGTGCATGCATGGACAGAGAGGTGCCTAGCTAGGCCGCTCACCGCCAAGGGAATGAATGTTTGCCCTTTTAGTTGACCTGTGACTGATGAAAGTACATACGGTACGCATTTCTGGGCTGGAATGTCCAGAAAATACATTTTAGACATGAATTGTGCTAACATACTTGGTTTATTCAGTGCATTAGGTCGTGTATTGTAAACTGTTTGCGAAGTACAATTACTCTGTAGGAAAAATTGTTTCCTTCACAGATTTAGCTCAAACGAGACACGAGGATGGGATGGTTCGGAAATGCTTATGAATGGATTTGTTTCTGGAGAACAGATGTTAAAGCCCGCAGCCCAAGTTGCACAAGATTAGTAATCTTGATGCCAGGGCACTTGAGCTGGCGAGGAGTTTCTAGCACTGGTGTCTTCCTCTGTGCTTGTATTTGTGCTGAAGTCCCAAGTTGCAGCACTAGGTTCTTCAAGTTGAGTATCGGGACTAGGCTGGATTTGTAGAAAGTGTCGCCGCGCAACACCAAGGTTTTCAAGATTAGTAATCTTGATGCCCGTGGTCTGCAACTTGGGACTCGGGCTTTAAGATTCGTTCATTGTAGACCAAACAAATAAACGAGTACACAGATTCAACGCAGATCTTTCATCACCATCTCAGCCGAACCCTGCTCCTCAGCCGAACTCTTTCATCACAACTTCGCGCCACGATAATCCCAAGGCAGTGCAGGATTTTGAATTCCACTGCCTCGTCTCGCCTGTCAGACTCGCGCATTTGCTGCGCGGGCATGCGAAGTCCCTGTTCCTCGCTTTTTGGTGGCTTCAGCCGCTCGTTACGAGCAGTGCGTGTGCGTCGGCCATGGCGGTCGGTGCTTCACCACGACCACCATCATCTGCATTCGCCTTCTGCGTTTGTCACGGAGAGATGTCGGTGTCGCAAATGCGTCGGAATCCTGACAGCCGTCCCATCGATTGCTTCATGGGTTCACAACAGGAAGATAATAAAAAATTTTGCACGGCTTGGCTCACACCGTCTCGGTTTAAAAGACGTAAAACCGATAAACGCTTGCCTGTCTGAAAGCCAGTGGGTGTGGTTGCAAGAATTAGCCTAATTCTTGGTGTTCAGAATCCAGAACCCTTCAGAACCATTCAGGACCGTTCAGGACCGTTCAGGACGCTACCGCTTTGTTGAACAGTTTGACGTATTCCATCGCAACACGTCAAATAGCCACTCAGAAACTGTCCGGCACCGTTCCGAAGGCTGCTGAAAGCTCACTGCTTCTAATTTACGCTCAGACTCAGGCTCAGCCTTAGGCTCGGCCTTAGTCTCGGCCTTAGTCTCGGGCTCAGGTTTAAATCAAGGAACCTTTCGTTGGAAGCAGCCCACGATGGCTCAAGCTCGCGGTGTGGCTCAAGCTGTTTTCACCGTGGCACTGATAGCCGTGCTCGCAGCTTCTTGTCAAGGTAACCATTTCCTTTCAGGCGCCTCGAAAGTCGTGCTCGCAGCATTTTGACAAAGTTACCACTTCCATCATGTGACCGGGATGTGCTTCTGATTTTAGCTCTGATTTGAGCTCTGACATGATTGGTTTCTCGCAGACTGTCCCTCGTGCCCTTTCTCTCTGTCTCTTTCAAGTGTTCACCATATCATTGTCCCATCCTTGTTTTTTTTTTATTGACATTTTCTCACTTAACCGGTGCCAATGTGAGATTTGCAACTCTGCCACGTCATCACTATTTACCAACCAGCAGCAGCCACAGACCCGTCTGACGTGGCAGCGCTTCAGCGCTTCCACTCATCTGTCTTCACCATCACTAGCAGCAGCCATGCCAGCAGCAGCACCAGTGACAAGAGCAGGAAAAGCGGAAACAGCACCAGTAGCAGCAGCAACAGCAACAACAGCGGAAACAGCAGCAGTGGAAGTGGCAGCAGCAGCAGCAGCAGCAGCAGCAGCAGTGTGATGGCTGGCAGGGGAGGAAATAAGGTGCCTGGAGTGCCGGGATGGTTCCCTTCAGTCCAATCAGACCCCTGTCAGGACGCGTTTCCAGGAGTGCAGTGCTCCAATGACCAGCCTCCACGTATCACTGGGTAACCTCTCTTTCTCTGTTCCTCCCTCCCTCCCTTGTTCCACCCACTCACCACCCTCTTCTTCTCCCACCTCCCCACTTCCCCTCGCTCTCTCCTTCTCCCTCTCCCTCTCCTCCTCAAGGCTCTCGTTCTACCAAAGCACTTCTTCCCTATCTGGTCTTGTTCCTTCTTTGCGTGTCTCTCTCCTTGCATGTGTGTCCACCATGTGTCTGACTGCGTATCTGTGCACCACCAGCATCGGTCTCTACTCGCTGGGGCTGCATGGCTCGTCTCTGAGAGCCCTCGCCCTCTTGAGTCGCCTTGAATTCGTTGACCTCGAGGTATGTAGATGTGTGAAGTTAGGAGCACTTTGCATGCAGCATATTGCATATCTTTCAGTCAGTTTGTAAGTTCCGAATGCATTTGCACTTGACAGAAAGATTTCTTCCGTTGTGTATTAGACTGCGTTCACTTATAACGAATCTGGTCCCTTGTTATCTTTTCTTCAAATTCATCTCCTCTCCCCTCTCCCCTCTCCCCTGCTCCCCTCTCCCCTCTCCCCGCTCACCTCTCCCCTCTCCCCTCTCCCCTCTCCCTGCTCTCCTGCTCCCTGCTCCCCTGCTCCCCTCTCCCCTCTCCCCTGCTCCCCTGCTCCCCTGCTCCCCTGCTCCCTTCTCCCCTGCTCCCCTCCCCCCTCTCCCCTGCCCCCCACTCCCCTCTCCAAACTCTCTCCTCAGAGCAACGCCTTTCACTGCCGCCTGCCAAAGTCTCTCTCCCGCCTCCTCCGTCTCACCTACCTGGACATATCCAAGAACCTTCTCTATGGCTCGCTCCCAGACCTCTCCCCCCTGCCTCTCCAGTTCCTATTCCTCGACCACAACCGCGCCGCCCCCACCTCCGCCCCTGCCGCTGCCCCTGCCCCTGCCCCTGCCCCTGGCTCTCCCTCTGCCACTGCCCCGCCCTCTACCTCTGCTCCTGCCGCTGCTTCTGCCTCTGGGCCAACACTGCGCGGAGGGCTTACTTCCCCTGCTCCGCGTGCGCAAAGGTGGTGTGGCCTCACGGGAGGGATACCGGCAGGGCTGGCGAATGTGACCACGCTGCGTGCCCTCGACCTGTCATTCAACTCCTTGTCTGGTGAGTGAGTGAGACTGCCTTGTTCGCCTTGTTCTTTACGTGGCCGTATTATAGCTGTCTCACATGAAAGATACGGAAAGTCTGGCGAATGTGACCACACTGCGTGCCCTTGATCTCTCATTCAACTCCTTGTCTGGTGAGTGAGTGACTGCCTGCTGCCTGCTGGAATCCCTCCCGTGAGAGTGAAACTGCTGCCCTGCTGCTAACCCACATCTGTGTGTTCCTCATCCCCCTCCGTGTCCGGTGCTCTTCAGGCCTACTCTCGCGCCCTCACCTCACCTCTCTCTCGCCACACTTGCGAACGGTCCGATGGCAACCAGCTCTCACAGAATGGGACATCTCAAACCCGCATCATCACTTCGACGTTGAGGAGTCTGGTTTTGAGGCGCCTCAAAATCAGACGCCCCTCACCTCACCATTCACCACGCTTGCAAACGGGCTGCAGGGCAATCAAATCAGCTCTCACAGAATGGGATAACCTCGTGATAAAAGAGTGTTTTTGAGAAGTTTCAAAACTCGCCACGCTTGAGAACGGTCTGCTGGGGCAATTCTGGGCCATCAGCTCTCACACAGAACGGGGCCATCTCAAACCCTCATCATCACCCCGATGTTCCACATTCCCGTCCTTCTCTTCTGCTCCTCAGGCGCCATCCCTGCCGCCCTCACATCTCGCCTCACTCGCCTGCTGCATCTGGGACTACAGAGCAACCAGCTGTCAGGCGCCATTCCACCCCTGGACCAGCTGAAGCAGGTGAGTGTGCTACCTGCCATGGAAGGACGCAGTATCCCTCCCTGGCATACCGTCTATGCATATTGATTCCGTGGCATGTCTGCAGTACCCCTGCTCCCCCCACGTCACGTCTCGCATCTCAGACCGCTCCCTTCCCTGCAGAGCAGTCGGTTCTCAGGCGCCATTCCACCTCTTGACCAGCTGATCCGAGTGAGGGTGCCACCTGTCATGCCACTCATGCTGCATCCCTTCTCATCCCACTTCTCGCGCCTCACATCTCAGCCTGCAGAGCAACCACCGCCCCTCACGCGCCATTCCGCCCCTTGATTGACCAGCTGAAGCAGGTGAGGGTGAGGCTGTGAGCTGCCATGCGAGCGATCGATGCTGGATCCCTTCTCACCCCGCATCGCACTCCTCAAATCCCACTCACACCTCACCCTTTTGTCAGTCACTCCTCACATCTCGGCCTTCAGAGCAACCGCCTCTCAGGCGTCATGCCGCCACTCGGCTAGCTGAAGCAGGTGAGTGTGTTTTGAGGCGCCTCAAATGTCACCTCAATATTCGCGGGTTTCATACAGGCGCCATGCCGCCACTCGGCCAGGTGAAGCAGGTGAGTGTGCTGCTGCCGGCCATGCCACTCATGCTGCATCAAACCTTTGCCACCCCACATCTCACTCCTCACATCTCACTCCTCCTGTTCTTCCCCTCCCTCCCACGCTCCATCTCTTCCTCCCTTCCTCCCCTCCCCTTCTGTGTCCACCAGTTGGCCAGGCAACGCTCCAGCTGGCCTTCAACCCCCACCAGCGCCTCTCCCCCCCTCCATCCCGCGCCTCACCTCCCTCGTTCTCGTGCTCAATCTCTCCTCCACCAGAATTTAAGGGCTTCTACCTGAACCAGCCACATATCCCTTCACCACCTAAGCTACTTGGCTGTTAGAGGCACCTCAAACCCTCAATGCACCTTCCTTTTTCCTTTCTCCCCCCCCCCCCCCCCCCTGCGCACTCCCTCCCTTGCCCCCGGATCTCCCCCTTCCCGTAGCTAGCAACGCTCCAGCTGGCCTTCAACCCCTTCACACCAGCGCCCTTCCCCCCTTCCATTCCTCGCCTCACCTCCCTGGTTCTCGTGCTCGATCTCTCCGCCATCAACTTCCAGGGTCCCCTCCCGGACCTCTCTGCTCTTGTTGGCGTCTCCGATCTGCTCCTCGACTTTAACAGCCTTGATGGGCCGTTGGATCCGTCCTTCTTGCCCTCTGGACGGCTGGGATTCTTTTCAGGTGATAACTTGTGCTCCAATTGGGCCCCTCATGGTGCTACCGCCACACCGCACACAACCGCATTGGTCTCCCCTCTTATCTGTTTGCACCACCGCGCACAACCGCATAGGCCACCACCCAGTGCCTAGTCTATCTGCACTTATTTCAACACCAACCGAACTCATGCCGTCCCAGAGTCTTCCTGTTAGAAACTGCCTCCTTTCCAATCTGCCTCTACCCATGCAAACTCCTCCGGACCCAAGCTACTCCCATCCCAAACGCCTCAACTTTTGAGAATTATCACAAGTGCTTCCCAAGCCACTCCCATCCCAAGCGCCTCAACTTCTCTCGCCCCATCAACCACAGCTGCCCCCGTCTGCCGTCCCTCAGTTCTCCATTCTCGACTCCAGACTCATCCTCTCCTCTCCCACACACACCGCACAGCTCACAGCAACAACTTTTCGGGCCCATCAGCCCGCAGCTAGCCATCCCTCTGCCGTCTCTCAGTTCTCCATTCTCGACTCTCCCCCTTCCCAGACTCATCCTCTCCCCTCACACTCCTCTTTTCCCCTTCCCGCCCTTCCCTTCACTTCCCCCCACCCATCCTCCCGATCCCACCACTCTCTCCCCCCTCAGACACACACCTCCCGGGCCCCATCAGCCCTCGGCTAGCCATCCCCCTGGCGTCTCCCAGCTTCTCCATCCTCGCCTCCAGGATCATCCTCTCCTCTCCCCATCCCACCAACCTGTTCCCCTCCTGTTTCTCACACCGCACAGCTCACAGCAACAACTTCTCGGGCCCCATCAGCACGCAGCTAGCCGTCCCTCTGGCGTCTCCCTAGCATCCCCTGTCGTCTACCCTCATCATCGCCCCCCCATTTCCCTTCCCTCCCACCTATCCCCCTACACACACACCGCACAGCTCACAGCAACAACTTTTCCGGACCCATCAGCCCGAAGCTAGCCATCCCCCTGGCGTCGCCCATCTTCTCCATTCTCGACTCGGGGCTCATCCTCGCCAACAATTCCTTTTCGGGCAGCCTCCCGGGCAGCCTGGGCAGGCTGGTGCAGGCGTACGTGGTTGACGTGTCACACAACCATTTGTCGGGCCGCATCCCTCCTGCCTTCGGCACTCTGTACCAGGTCGGTGCTACCACTCCCTTCATAACCACCTGTAACAGGTACTAGAGCGTTTTTCAAGTCGAACCAAATGTCACCGCATCCCTCCTTCCTTCGGCACTCTGTACCGGGTTAGTCCGTAGGTCCGTTCAGCCAAGTAGGTAGTAAAAACAAGTCAACAGTTGCTTTTAATTCCCTTCTTCCAACCACCTGTACAAGGTACTTACGGGTCGACGCAAACATCCTTTCTTCCTTCAGTACGCTACACCAGGAAGGTATGTTGGAATCGTTTTTGAGGATTCTTTTGAGAACTAAAATCACTTTTGAGAATTCTCAAAAGTGATTTCAACATCATCACATCCTTCCTTCCTTCAGTACACTGCACCAGGAAGGTAGCTCAATTTAACCAGTTGATTGAAGTCAAAGTCAACAGGGTAGGCACCTCGAGTGCCACCCATCTTTTCTTCTCACCACTCGTCCCTTTCATTCTGTTAACGTTTCCTCCTATTTCACACCTCACCCGCTTCCTCCTCAACAACAGCGCATTCACCGGCGCCATTTTTTAGGCGCCTCAAAAGTCGCTTTCTCCTCAACGAGGTGACTTTTGATTCGACTCAAAAGTCACCCCTGCCATTTCTGAGGTGCCTCAAAAGTTGCTTCCTCCTCAACAACAGCGCATTCACCCTTGCCATTCATTTTGAGCTAAGCGTTACTGTAGAATTGAGCATGCTTCATCTCCCCTCACTGCCTCGTCCAACCCGTTCCCTCCCATTTATTAAACCTCTCGCTCTCTTCTCTCTCGCAGCTCACCCGCTTCCTCCTCAACAACAGTGCATTCACCGGCGCCATCCCCAGCGAGTTGGGCAACACTAGTGAGCTGAAGACACTGTGGCTCCGCACTGCCTTGCCCAACCCCTTTCTTCCCTTCACCAACCCCCTCTTTCCATCCTCCCTCGCAGCTCACTCGCTTCCTCCTCAACGACAATGCATTCACCGGCGCCATCCCCACTGAGCTGGGCATAGCCCCCGGCCTCAGGGTGTGACAGCTCTGCACTGCCTCACCAACCCCTTCCGTTCCCTTCACCAACCCCCTTCCTTTCACCACCCCCCCCACATCCCTTCTTTCTTGCTCAGCTCACCCGCTTCCTCCTCAACGGCAATGCATTCACCGGCGCCATCCCCACTGAGCTGGGCATAGCCACCGGCCTCAGGGTGTTACGGCTCGCTGGTAACCGCCTCTCCGGCACCATCCCTGCCACGTTCACCGCCCTGACGCGGCTTCAGGTACGACATATGTTACGTCAAGCCCACTCTTCTCGAGCTTATACACGTATCGAGCTTCTTCTCTCTGAGCCCGTTGTGTTTTCTCCAAGCTCGCCAAACATTTTTTACCTGATCCCACCTTCTTTCTATACCCATTACTTTCCTTTCCTCATGCGAGCTTGTGTCGCCTTCATTCTCAAGCTAACCATGCTTGTTTGTGCTGGTCTTCCCAGGCCCCAGTGGTATTCCATTCTGTTTGCCTCCACTCTTACTCCCTACCTTCGTCCTCTCCTCTGCCCATCTTTCACAACTAACAACCGAATGGAATACCACTGGGACCTGAGCCAAACCCGAAACCACCTAGTGATTTTTTTGTTGACTCAAACTCCACCTCTGCTGAAACCACCTCTGCAGCCGATCTCTCGCAATCAGCAGTAAAGCCAAACTGAGCAGAGAACGTCATGTAATTCCTTAGTCGCCTCAAAAATCAAACCTGCCCCCCGTCTCTCCGAACCAGGAACTTGACCTCAGCCGAAACCACCTCGTTGCTTCCCTCCCCGACCTCTCCACCTCCCTGCACCGCCTCACACTCCTCAATACCTCTCGCAACTTCCTCTCAGGGCCCCTGCCCTCCTACCTCCCTGCCTCCCTCCTATCCCTCGATCTCTCTAACAACTTTTACTCGGGCAGCCTGCCTGGGTCGTCTGATTGGCTGCCTGAAAATGCAACTGCCCGACTGCATGGGAATTGCCTGCAGCTGCCATCCTGCCCTGTGCCTCCGAACCTGAGGTCCAGCCTTGGTGCGAAGCTGGGAGACAGCTTCAGGCCGAACCTGGGAGCTGGTTCGGCGTGCTGGCTGGCAAAACAGCGCTCGGAGAGGCAGTGTGCTTCGTTCTGTGGAGCCAATGAAAGTGTGACACGTGTCTGCAGGTGAGACCCTGGAAGAAGGTAGAGGGAGAGGGAGAGCGGGAGAGGGAGAGAGAGAGGGGCTGTGTGTGGATGTGAGTGTGGTGAGAGGTGCATTCATGCATTCAACTGGTCATGCATGCAATCACAAGGGCATGGATGCAATCAAATAAACTTCCATGCATGCAATCAGGTGGGCATGCATGCAATCAGGTGGGCATGCATGTAATCAGGTGGGCATGCATGTAATCAGGTGGGCATGCATGCAATCAGGTGGGCATGCATGCAATCAGGTGGGCATGCATGCAATCACATGGACATGCATGCAATCACATGGACATGCATGCAATTCACATGGACATGCATGCAATTCACATGGACATGCATGCAATCACATGGACATGCATGCAATTCACATGGACATGCATGCAATCACATGGACATGCATGCAATTCACATGGACATGCATGCAATCACATGGACATGCATGCAATTCACATGGACATGCATGCAATCACATGGACATGCATGTATGCAATCAGTTCAACTTCTCCATTGTCTCTCCTCTCCATCTTTTTCCTCTCCTCCCACATGCACCACAGTGAGCGTGGTCACTGCGTTCCCTCCTCATCTCTCTGTTCTTCTCCTCTCCATCTTTTTTCTCCTATCCCACATGCACTACAGTGGCCGTGGCTACTGCGTTCCCTCCTCATCTCTCTGTTCTTCTCCTCTCCATCTTTTTTCTCCTATCCCACATGCACTACAGTGGCCGTGGCTACTGCGTTCCCTCCTCATCTCTCTGTTCTTCTCCTCTCCATCTTTTTTCTCCCATCCCACATGCACTACAGTGGCCGTGGCTACTGCGTTCCCTCCTCTTCCACCCAGAGAAGGTTGGCTGGAAGTGCATTTCACTGCAGCAACAGCAGCAGCAGCAATGGCAGCAGCAACAGCAGCAGCAGCAATGGCAGCAGCAACAGCAGCAGCGATAGTAGCAATAATGCCAGCTCTGGTAGCAGTAGGAACAGCAGTAAGAGAGGGAACGACCAGAGTGAAGCAGGCACAAACGACAACAAGCTTGGTTCCACATACACTTTTCCCCTTCCATCTTCTTTAGACAGCAATCGCAGCAAGTCTACACTTGCTGTAGATACAAGCACTATGTCGCTTAACGAGATTGCCTTTACGAGGGATGCTTTGCTGCAGCAGTCGAGGCAGTGGCTGGGGGATGTGAGGGTCCGTGTGAGCGAGGGAGGAGGGGAGGGTACGGGGAGAGGAGGGGGAGGAGGACGAAGGGTGGGAGGGAAGGATGTGAGAAAGTGGGTTGAGAGGATGCGACAGCTGGTTAGGAAAGAAGGGAAGGTTTAGAATACCATATGGTACCCTATTTCTGTGACTTCTGTAAATACCTACGTACACAACTTATCTCGTATTCTTAATTGCTTTGTGGAGTTTTCATTTTCCTGTCAATACACCACAAATAAACCAAGAAGCATATAGCAACAGCAGTGCAAGAATGTACAATATATACATGGACATGGTATTTTTTCCCACAATGGTTTCATCTCCCAAAACCTATACCAGCAACACCACTCACTCCCATCATCCCAGCACAAAAGGATAACAAAAGGCGCACTCAGCCTGAAGCTATACAACCTCCCAACCAACCCAGACCCCTCATTCATGCTTGAATCTAGCAGCCCTCTTCTCCAGAAACGCCTGCATGCCTTCCTTCTGGTCATCAAGAGCAAACGAGGAGAGGAAGAGCGCTCGCTCCCCAGCCAGGCGTGGGCCCAAAAAGCCCAACCCAGTGAAGTGAAGTGACGCATTCACTCTGCCTCTATCACTATCAAGAAGCCATCAGGTCTCCTTCATTCATGCTTCAAGTGAGCAGCCCTCTTCTCCAGAAACGCCTGCATGCCTTCCTTCTGGTCGGCAAGAGCGAAGCACGAGAGGAACAGCGCCCGCTCCTCAGCCAGCCCTTCAGCCAGCGACCCGTTAAAGGCCGCGTTGACACTCTGCTTTGCCATGGCCACTGCTGGTTGCGACAGCGATGCTATCTTGGCGGCTGTTGCTATGGCTGCTCTCACTAGCTCTTCCTGTGGACCTGGGACCTGGGAGGTGGGGGAGGGGGTGACGGGAAAACGAGGGGAATGCAGGCATGTTGGCATTTGCAGGCTTCAGCCAGCCCGTCAGCCAGCGACCCATTGAAGGCCGTGTTGACGGTCTGCTTGGCCATGGCCACAATCAAATCTTTTTGTAAACTCAGAAACATGGCTCGTGCCTTCAACAGATTCCAAACAAGCCTTCTCCATATATGAAACAACACGCATGCACTCGCCACTCTTCTGACGAGCCCAGCCCGCGCTGCCTCTTCTGCATCCATTAGCATCGCCTCCGCCAGAATCGTCTCCATGGCACACGCCTTGGCCAGATTCCCTGTAAGCCTACCCGTAGAACGCCGCATTGAACATGCCGATTCGAACGAAGCCGTTTTGAGCTCACCACTCTGCTGACTAGCCCAGCATGGGCCGCCTCCTGTGCATCCATAAATAATGCCCCCGTGAGAATCATCTCCATGGCCCGTGCCTTGCCCGAATTCACTACAAGCATATTCGATATTAGTGAAACCCACCACTCTGCTAACGAGTCCAGCTTGAGCAGCTTCATTCGCACCCATGAAAAGCTCCCCCGTCTGAATCATTTCCATGGCGCGCGCCTTGCCCACCACCGCATACGACTCAATACAGACCAACTCCTTATAAGCTCACCACTCTGCTGACCAGTCCAGCCTGCGCCGCTTCATTCGCGTCCATGAAGAACTCGCCCGTGAGAATCATCTCCATGGCGCGCGCCTTGCCCACCGCGCGGGTAAGACGCTGCGTGCCGCCCATCCCGGGAATCACTCCAAGCTTCACCTCGGGCTGTCCGAACACGGCCTTTTCACCGGCTAGTATGACGTCACACATCATCGCCAGCTCGCACCCTCCGCCCAAGGCATAGCTGAGGGACACGGAGGAGGGGGGATAGGCGGAAGGAAGGGGGTTGGTGGGGGCAAGGTGGGGTAGCTTCACCTCAGGCTGCCCGAACATGGCCTTCTCGTCCGCTAGGATGATGTCACACATCATCGCCAGCTCGCACCCTCCGCCCAAGGCATATCTGAGATGGACCAGGGGGGACAGAAAGGGGGAAAAACAGCGGGGGTGTGAGGGGGCAAGGGGGGAGAGCTTCACCTCGGGTTGTCCAAACGACACATCATTGCCAGCTCGCACCCGCCGCCCAAAACATACCTGAGATGAACCAGGAGTAACGTAAGGGAAAAGGAGGGGATGCCATTGCCTTGTTGGCCACTAAGACGATGACACACACATCATTGCCACTTTGCACCTGCTGCCGAGGTCGTACCTGTGGAAAGACAGGAGGGAGGCAGCGGAAAGGAGGAGGCAATTTCCGCTATGTCCGCCCCGGATGCTGCATGGCTTCACTCAACCACTCACTCGCCAAGTGACTGACTCTTGCACCCACTCATTCACCTGCCCACTAATCCTACTCGCCCGTTGACAGCAGCAATGACCGGCCATTTCTGGCGCCACATGTCGTCCCACTGGCCACGTGAAGAGAGGGTAATTTTGAGACGTCTCAAACATACCCTCTCTACACGTGCCTTTTCAGGCGCCGCATGTCGTCGCACTGGCCCCGCCGATCGTTCCTGAGAGCAGCAGCGAAGGGGAGAGGCGCCATCTCCGCTATGTCCGCCCCTGCAGGGGCTTCACATCCACTCACTCACTCACTCACCCACCCACCCACCCGCCCACGCTCTTGCGCAAAAACGAATCACTCACCCGTTGACAGCAGCGATAACCGGTTTCTTCAGGCGTCGCATCTCATCCCACTGCCCCAGCAAGTCCCCCTTGAGAGCAGCAGCGAAGGTCAGCGGCGCCATCTCCGCTATGTCTGCCCCGGCTGCAAACGCGCGCCCCTCACCCGTTACCACCGTCGCGCCCACCTGAGGCAGGTGTTTATAACGCGTACAGCACATGCAGAAACAAGGGCAGTGGGTGCCTGAGTGCATGACCGTACACGAGCCATAGTATACGTGTTACACACGAGCCATATACGTGTTACACACGAGCCATATACGTGTTACACACGAGCCATATACGTGTTACACACGCGCCATGCACCTGCCATACACGTGTCATACACGAAACATAGTGCCAAATAAGCCTTCCCCGCACGCACCGACTCTTTCTGCTCCATCCACTGCAGCGCAGATACCACCTCCCCCATAACCGCCTGCGACAGCGCGTTCAGCGCTTTCGGCCGTGCCAGGGTAATTAACCCAACCTGCCCGTCCGCCACAAGCTCCACCCGGATATTGTGGAAAACGCCTCCCCCGGGTGGCGCCTCCCCCGCGCCAGCTCCCCCGGGGGGCGCGTCCGCCGCCTCCGCCGCCTCCGCCGCCACGCCACTTCCGCCGCCGCTGGTTTCCGCGATGCTGCTGAATTCGCGGGCGACATGTGGCCAGGCGTCACGGTAAGCGGAAGGAACGGGAGAAGAGGAGTTGCGGTAGGGGGAGCGCGCGGGTGGGAGGGCGGAAGGGGCGGAAGGGGCGGAAGGGGCGGAAGCGGAAGGAGGGGCGCATGGGGCGGAGAGGAAGGACAGAGCGGAAGGCGCAATTGGGGAAGGGAAGGTGGGCGCGGGGCGGAGAGCGGAAACGGTTGAGAGCAACCATGACGGGCGCGGCGGGCAGGGGGGAGCTGCGGCTGCGGGCGGGGGGACGGGGTGGACGGCGATGGAGGGCTGGGCGAGGAAAGGGTGGAGAGCGACAAGGCGAGACGCCGCTCCGCGCGTTCTTGGGACACAACGAGCCATGACTGCACACAACAGCAAAAGCAGCAAGAAGATGCTATTTTGATACTGTGTGAAACGTTGAGGTGTCACCATTGCACAGCTCTCGTAGCTCAGCTGGTTAGAGCGTATGGCTGTTAACCATAAGGTCGGTTGTTCAAGCCCACCTGGGAGCGAAATTCTTGTTTCTCTTTCTTTTCGAGTTTCCGACGTGGATTGTGACTCGGTGTCGGTTTGAATTGACCTCAACTGGCCCACATCAAGCTGAACCCCCCCTCTCATGCACCTTGAAGAATACGCCCTTCGTTGCAGAATACCCGTCGGCTAGATGGGATTGCACGACCTCTCGATTTTCAACTTCCATTCCAATCTTGAGAACCTCGAGATTGCCGACAAACCGCCAAATCTCATTTTTTTGCTCTTCCGCCCCAAAGACTGATTCGCTTTGGGCACAGGACGGATCTTCTCACTCTACGTTCCCCGCCGACCACGGAAATTTGCCACGGGTTATCGAACGGCGGGTGTGGGATTTTTCCCTTGTAGAGACGAGGGTGGGTCGTGAAACCGTAGATTCCTCCTCGGACTCGTGCGCTGCATTCAGCCATCCCAGTTAGATCGGCGTGAGGGAGTAAATCGCGGCCATGGGGATCGTGGAGGATTTCAGATCTGTGACGTCCACATTCTATAACGAGTACAGCAAAACACCCGTCAAGCTCAAGGTCCGAGGGATTGAAAGAAAGGAGGCTTTGTTGGCATTAGCGAGATGTTGTGTAGATGCCGCGTGGATACACGAGGCATCCATGGCGTACCACTGGGTGCAATTAAATCGGCCAGGCGTGCGTTCCGCAGCATGTTCTATTTTGTGTTTCTATCCTTTTCCCTGTCTGCAACCCTGTCTTGACCTTGTTTCCTTCCGAGCATGAAGCTCACAATTCGCATTTTTTTTGCTTGTTTTTGTTTTCTTTTATTTTCTTTCCCTTGTGTGCTTTACCTTTCTGATTCTGAATGCCCGAGAATCCATGCAGGCCCTCGATCTGCTCGTGGTCTATGCGCTCCTGACGGCTGGGATTCAGGTATGCACCGCGTGCCGTCCACGCCCGTGTCCGCATGTCGTCCCATTCCCCACTACTCACCGGTTCGCGTACATGCCACTGGTGGACTCGAAACTCACTCACGAGGACTACACCTTTCTCTCCCCCGCCCTTGATTTCTCATGTTTCCTCACACTCCCTCTCCCCCCACCCCCTCAACTCCCTTCCTCCCCTCCCTCTTGCGCCCATCTATCACCCTTTGTATCCATGTCTCTGGTTTGGTCGTTCCCCATCAAGGCCTGAAGTCAACTCTATTGTTACTTCGTACTCCCCTTCCCTACCCCCCTCCCCCCTCCCCACACCCGCCCCCTTTCCACACCTCCCCTTCCCCACACCTCCCCCTTTCTCCGCGCGCCAATCGCGCAGTTCGGGTACATGGCGCTGGTGGGGTCGTTCCGGTTCTACGCATCTCGTCACCTCTAATGTCACTCCGCATTCCTCCCCTTTCTTCCTTCCCCGCCTCCCCCAAATGCCCCCATCCCTCCTTTCCCTATGCGCCAACCACGCAGTTCGCGTACATGGCGCTGGTGGGGTCGTTCCCCTTCAACGCCTTCCTCGCGGGTCTGCTCTCCTGTATCGGGACCGCCGTGCTCGCAGGTACGTGCGGAACCGACTGCCGTCCTCGCAGGTACCTTCGAGTCTGACGTGCGTTCACCTTCCAATCGCTCTACTGCCTCCTTCGGCACACCACACTCACTCAATCACTTGCGAGCCCCTTCTCACTGCCCCCTTTCCTCCTCGCCAAACCCATCTTTCACAGCGCGCCACGACTCCTTTTCGATCCAAACGCTCTCAGCGCATAGAGTCACTTTTAGGGAATCTCAAAAGTCCTCCGTTCACATATCATCATTGCCTCCTTCCAAACAATTGCACATTCCCCCATCCCTCCCGGCCACCCTCCCCCCCCCTCCCCTCCCCCTCCTTTCTTTCTCCCTCTCCCCCTTGCTCTCCCACGCCACAGCGTGTTTGAGAACGCAGGCCAACAAGGAGAAGAAAAGCTTCCTGCTTCGTTCGTCTCCTTGATTCTAAACATGCCCACTCTCTCCCTCCGTGCCCTCCCTCCACTCCCCCTTGTTCTCCCACGCCACAGTGTGTTTGAGAATGCAGGCCAACAAGGAGAACAAGGACTTCCAGGTTTGCTCCTTCCTCCTCTTTGCCCTTTGCTCCTTCCTCCTCTTTGCCCTTCCCCATGCCCAAACCCCCGAACCCATCGTTCCGTCCTGGCCTCTTCTTCCCACGTGCTCTTCTTTTCCATATCCACAACAAGACTCGATTGTGAGCTCGCTGCTATAGTTCTGTAGTTGCGTGTCTGCTTCGCGTGCTGGTTCGCGCGTCATACAGTTGTGTGCCATGCACCACCTTAGAAGCTATCGGTACTAGCTTTGCGCTTTCGTCGTGTAACAACTTTCCCCGCACCACGCTCCTTCACCCTCCCTTCCGCCCCCCTACCCCTCCACCCATTCGCCCCCCTCCCTCCCAACTGTCGGTTCTGCCTGTAACAGGAACTGCCAAACGAGCGCGCGTTTGCCGACTATGTTCTCTGTAGCCTCGTGCTGTACCTGGTCGTTATCAACTTCATTGGTTAACTTACCACTACCATGACAATTGCTTGCAGGATTTAGTATGTTCTTATACTGATACGGTATACATGGTTGAAGCAGCCACTCTCTGTCTTGTATACTTACGTTGTTTGAAGCTCAATACACTTTTCAGTCCACAGTACAACAAAGCCCTGCATGGTGTAACTAGTACCGTATCTGCTTTGCAATTAGTAATTCGGTTTTGATAATTACCGGTATATAATATTGCTGCTGAGCCCTGTAACCTGGGGAGGGGAATGGCTCAAATGTAGACTACCAGTAGGTATGTTTGAGTTATAGCCCCCCATTTGAACGTTAACAGCTTGTATGTAGTGATTGTATACGCGGAGAAAGATGGATTGGGGAAAGACATGGGCTTGTTTTTTCACCGAAAGAATTATTGAAGGAATTGTGTGATGTAGAAACACCTATTGAAACTATTGGTACAGAACACTTTTTACCGCCGCTGTCACAGACCTCCCCCTTCTCCCTCCCATGCCAGTGCGCTGAGGGGAACATGACATGGAACTTTCGCCTGGGCGACGGATGCCGCGACAGAGCCGTCCACCGTCCACCCACCCATCCCATCACCACCACCCCCCTTGTCCGCTGTGCGCCCTCCCCATTTTCTGCGGTGTGGAGCGATACGAACAGACAGCTTCACGTTACACACCCGTCCTCAGTGCGCCCTCCCCGTCCTCAGTTACACCCGCCCTCGACTGCCTGACATTTTCCGCGTTTTCCCTCTTATCTCATACCATCCGTCGATGCTCCAGACGCCTTCTCCAAACAACGGCAAAGATGGACCCTACGTCTCCCCACCGAGCGCCTTCCCACCAACCACCACCACCATCTACCCCCCCTACCCCCACAGCGTCCCCCACACGTCCCCCCTACAACCTGCGCACGTCCCGCACACCGCCATAATTCCCCCCTTCCTCCTTTCTGCCTGTGTCCCCCTTCCCACAAACCCCATCACAACAACACCCCCCCCCCCCATTTGTCTCCCCGCCCCCCCTCTCTACCCACCCAACTTCCCTCTCCTTCCCCCCCGTCCTTCTCTCTTTCCTCTCCTCCCCTCCCAATTGCCAAACACCTTCCTTCCACCGCGCTTTTTTCATGGCAGATTGATCTTTGCTGGCACCAGCGACGTTCCAATTAGGAGAACGCAAGGTTGCGTCAGGCTTGGCTTGGCTGCTCTGTCGCGCTGCCGCGCGTACAGTAATTCGCCCAGCTGTCCTCCAGAAGCTCGGAAGCAACGTCTGATGAGAGTCGCTAAAAACTAGCGTGCCTGTGCTGCCGTGCCGTGCTTGTGTCGATTTTGAGAATTCTCGTAGCGACACAAGCGTAATCAGTTATGTCACGTCATGCATCGTGCCGCACTGGTGGAACGCGCCGCGGCAGCTACTGTACGTGCACGCGGGCGTTGGTCACCTTCTTGTTAGTCGATCGAGATCAAGTCTCCTCTTCTCGCAGCTTTAGGTTTCCCACTTGCACCCCATGTGCTCCGCTGGATCTGCAATGCACATGGATGCAGCTCCGACCCAGCTAAGACGCCATTCCACCCAAAGAGCATGTGACTCGTGCAGGATCGCCAAACATGGGTCCCAGATTCATGGTTCGTGTTTCATGATTGACAGTTCACGATTTTGTTTTTCCACGAGAGCCTACCTTACTAAGAGCCTCCCGTATAGGTGCTGAGCACGTATGAACCATGGTTCCACTAGAGACGCCGTTACCCGCGGTTTCATGGCCAATAGCTAGGCTGGATGTGGCGTGCGAGGGACAGCCGCGGTACACAATCTGGCAAGATGGCCGCGTACGATTCGTTATACGCTGTCACGCCGCGTGTGACGCGCTTAGATCCAGTTGTCGGCATAGATGTAACCTGGCCCGCTTGTCCCTGGATCAAGTCAGCCGCGTTTTCTCCGCAACGCTGGCAGATGAAACCCGCACTCATCCTTTTTTCCCAACCCTGTTCTTTCGGCCGTATCTAGTAGCTGCTGTGTCCATCGAGCTCCGCGATTCACGGTGACGCATCCGCTGCTCACGATTCGTGCTATCTATGCCAGCTAAGCGCCAATGGTGGCTCGAGGATCTCTAGGAATCTTTTTTCCGTCAGCGCACGAGTGCGTTCTGCTCAACTTTCCACGATTGAAAGAGAATGCGATTCGTCAAGATTTCTTCACACGCGGTGGTTTGTTCGAGTATTTCTTACCTCGAGATTTGTTCAGCCTGAATAGCACAACGGTCATTTGCTCATGCGACGGTTCAAGTATTGACTATCAACGATTGCTGGCTGCATGAAACCCCTTCCCGCAACTCTCCAGCACCGCCGCCATAACTAGTAGCACGGGTACCAGAAGTTCAAGATTACTACTAATTCTTGCAGCTTATGGTGTCTCTCTTTGTCACGTTAAAACCAGGGTCTCATGTAAACCGAGTGTTTTGCAGTTGATGGCAAACCCCCGTACCGGATTGGTTTGCGAACTTGAAGGTTGGGGTGGGGGGGTGACGAATGTCGTGCACTAGCCACATTTCAGCACCCGTTTCATTGCACTGATCCCCCGTACGACTCGGTCTGCGCCGAACCCGACAGCCTAGAAGAGAGCGAGGGGAATACCATGGGATACGCTGTTGGCAACGCCGAGAACGAGAACGATATCGTCGACAGTGGTAACAAGGGGGGTAACGCTACTAAGGAGGATAACGGTATCGAATACGAGTGCAATGGTAACGAGGACAGCGGTAACGAGGACAATGATAACGAGGATAACGGTAACAAGGACAACGGACTAATGGACGCAGAGTGGGCGCGGCAACTCATCGCGTCGCAGTGGAACATCCGAATTGGCGTCCCGCTCCCGCAGGTGATGACCGGCGGACATGGCTTTCCGGCTGCGAATGGCGCTGCTGTAACCACCGATTTTCTCAGTGTCACTAAGGAAGGCCATTGCGTCACTGAGAAAGGCGTTCCTACAACTACATCTGGTACCTCCAATGGTGTGATCCCGTGTGGCGCAGTCCGAGAGACGCAGCAGCTTGATTCGAAGCAGGAAGCGCGGGGGAAGTCTTCTGGAAGTCGCTGTAACGGGGGGGGAGCAGCTGCGTTGATCGCATCGACCCATGCATCAAAGGCGCCACGGCTGGCAATTGTCATGGCGCCTCAGAGCCATGGCGATATTATACCTAGAAGCTGCCGTGGGAGCTGCAAAAGTGCAGCCTCGAAGCAGCATTTGGCGTCTCCTTCATCTGCTGCTGCTCTTGCTTCCCCCCGTACAAGCACTCTTGCTGACGCCACACCTGGAAGCGGCAATTTCAAGGGTCCGTGTACCACCTTCCAGCAGCAGCAGCAGCATCACCACCGCCACCAGCAGCAGCAGCACCAGCAGCAGCACCACCACCAGCAGCAGCAGCTGCAGCAGCAGCAGCTGCAGCAGCAGCAGCAGCAGAGATTTGAGCGGAACAGCCTTTCTCCCCGCCCGCCAGCCACCGAGCACAGCAGGGGGAGTGGCAGTGCACAGGAAGGGGGGAAAGCCATGCACAGTGGGGTAAATAGCCCGCACAATCTGGGGCGCATCGGAAGTGTAGCCAGCACACGGTTGAAGCAGCTCACCACAGCAGCAGCAACGGGCAGAATGGCAGTATCAAGTGCACCTGCAGCTTTCCCCACAGCAGCAGCCGTCTCAGCAGCCAGTGCAGCAGCCCACCCCTCATCAGCAACACTGAAGCCTAGCAGGCTGCAGCAGCAACACCACCAGCAGGAGCAGCAGCAGGAGCAGCAGCAACACCACCAGCAGGAGCAGCAGCAGCAGCAGCAACAACACCACCAGCAGGAGCAGCAGCAGCAGCAACAACAACAACACCACCAGCAGGAGCAGCAGCAGCAGCAGCTGCTGCTGCAGCAGCAGCAGCAGCAGGGCAACCATTTTCCCCTCTCCTGTAAACAATTTCCTCGGCAGGAGGCTGAGGAGCGGTTTCAAGAATACATGGAGAAATCAACATGGGTCCAATGCGGCTCACCTCCCAGCCCGCCTCTTCACTCTCCTTCCAGCCTGGCCCTTCGCTCTCCTCCCAGCCCGGACCTTCCCTTTCCTTCCAGCCCGACCCTTCGCTCCCCTCCCAATACGCCTGTTCTCTCTCCGTCGCCACCGCCCTACCCGCGCACGCATCGCCCCATACCCCACCGGTGCCACTCCAGCCTCCCAGCCTCGTCTCTCGCTGACCATCTTCTCTCCCACGCTGCACTGGCAGTCGCCCTCTCGTCCTCCCTCGCGGAGTGTGAAGGCAGCAGAGAGAGTGAGGGTAGCAGAGAGTGTGAGCACAGCAGACGCCCGCGAGCATGCCACGTAACTTCAGAGTCGATCCAAAAGTCAGCCACAAGTCCAGTAAGCACCCCCCGGGCCAGCCGGGGTACAGTGCCGTCAAGCCCGCCTCCAAGTCCACTATCGAGTCTGCCCTTATCGAGTCCACGATTGTCAAATCTGTTGTCTTCCCGGCATGCTAGTACTGGTCAGCAGTCAGCCAACCAGCAGTCTACCATCCAGCAGCCCAGCAGTCAGCAGATATGCCTACACAGCCTCTCACCTCCATCGCCTGCTAGCTCGACAGCTGCTCCCCGCCGTGCCCACGGTGTGGACCGAGCGCGGTCCCTTGATGACATCACACCGTCCGAGCCGCAGACGCGTTTGCTGGATATGCCATCACCTGTGCCGCAGTCGCGCTCGCTTGACATCGCACCTTCCGTGCCGCAGAGGTGTTCATTGGACATTGCACCGCCTGTGCCGCAACATTCGTCAGGCCATGAGTGGCAGAATCAGCACACTGGAAGAAGAAGCTTTGACTCCCCTCGTAAGCCGCTTGGTCCACTGCATTGTGATGACGTGCCTGCTTGTTCCAGCTTGAAACACACCTGCCGCAGTAGCAATTCGTTTGGAGTGTGCACTGAGGCTGCTGATATCCAGTCAAGAGTAGGAGGGGACGGTGCTGGAAATAACAGCAGCAGCAGCGCTAGGGGCATGTGTAGCAGCGGTGTTAGCAGCAGCAATGGCAGGGTGTCATTGCAAGGCAACAGCCACTGTGGCGTCTCACCCAGAGCACCTGCAGCAAGACACAGACGCTGGCTGTCACAGTCAAGCCTCCCTCAGCTTGGGCTCAGCTTTTGCAAGCATGCTCCACAGGCAACAGTCGCAGAAGTCTCAGCAGTCTCGGGAGTATCAGGATTATCAGAAGATTCCGGAGAATCTACAGCTCCTAGTAGCACCTGCTGTTCTGCAGATTCTGCCCATGTTTGTCGAGTCAACCAAGTCAACGGAGTCAACAGGCATGCGTCGTCTCATCATCACTACCATTGTCATCATGGTGGTTCGTTCCAGAAAAGGAGCGGGAGTGGCGTGACGAGAGCAGCCACTTTTATGCCAAAGGAACAAAGGGCATGTGTCCAGGTTCAGGGTTTGGTGCAGGTGGCAAGTATCAGGAGCAACGAGGAGAGAAGGGATGGGACAGGTTGGGTGCAGAAACTGGGGAATGGCGCTTCTTCTTTGCGAAGGTCCCATCACCAGCAGCAGCAGCAATGGAGGCAGCAGCTTAGGCAGCAATGGCTACAGAATCATAAAAAGCAATCAGCAGCTTCAATGCTGTAGTATTGGTGGATCGAACGACGCAACAGAATCTGGATGTCAACAGGGTCAGCCAGCAGCAACGGCAGCAATAGAGGCAGCAACTGAGGCAGCAGTGGCTACAGAATCTGGATGTCAACAGGGTCAGCCAGCAGCAACGGCAGCAATAGAGGCAGCAACTGAGGCAGCAGTGGCTACAGAATCATAAGCAGGTCCCTGAGTGGTTAAATGGAGGCTTCTCTACCATCACTTTCGTTCGTAACCCATTTCTTGCAGTAGGTCCGGATTACCTCTTCTGTCAAGGTATATCTATAGGAGATTACATTTCAGATCCCATCTCCACTTTAAGCATATACGCCTCTTCATTATGCGCACTGTACCGCTCTATCAGCTGCTTATTCACGCTATGCATCTTCTCCTTCACTGTCTTGGGCAGTTTCCCAGTGTCTCTCCCACCTTTCTTCCCCCTCACATGCACCAAAGGAGCATCACCCAACCTTGCCCCTTTCCTCTCCCAGTTAAACGTTTCATCAACAATGCAGTATAACCCCAATGATGGGTAGTTGAGTTTCAGGGTTGACAGACTCTCTCCATCAGACCCTTCACTTGGAAAGAAGAGGGCTTGCAGGTTCGGGGCCTTGATGCAAGGAGGGGTCATCATCAGCTCGTCCGGGTCAGAATCGTAATCGGCGTATCCAGTCCCAACGTAAAACTCTCTTTCATCCAGCATATTCAGACGATAAACCTCCTCCACAGAAGTCACCCAATCCTTTTCAATCTCCCAACCTTCATCGTCCACTTCCGTCTGCTGCACGACAATCCCAAGGCTGCGCAGGCTACTCCACTCCACATTCAATTTAGTGAAAGGGAACCCATGCTCTACTATAAGCACCTCCACTGTAGGAGCAACTGTGTTAAGCCAGCTCATCCAGGAGAGCTCTGAGCTGGCACTGGGAGCGTCCTGCCAGCGTGAAGATGGTCCGGTGGAGAATCCCCAAAAAGAATTCAAGTAGATTACCCTGGCAGATGCGAAGCAGAGGAGGGAGGCGCGGAGTTCGGAGTGGGCATGAAGAATGAGCTGGTGGAGAGCTAGAGGGGTGTCCGATTGACAGGTGAGGTCGACAAAGCCACCCATGACAGAAAGGGTCGTGAGGGAGGATGGGAGGTTGAGAGTCAGTTTGAGCTTGCTGTGTAGGAAGAGGAAGCGGAGGGTGTGTGCATTGGAGAAACTGAAACTGTGGCTGATGGTACCGAAGCGATAGCTGCGGGAGGCCTCGTACAGAGTGAATTCAATAAGCTGTGGCGTGATGGTTTCCAGGAACTCGTAATCCAAGTCCTTACGATCCACGTATGCAAGGGTCAGGCTCCGCAGTGACTGCATACATGCTGCATTCACACAACCATCAGTCATATTCCACTCGCCACGCCCTAGCTTCAGCTGCTGCAGCTGCGAGCAGTCTTTCAGGAAGCCCAGTGTAAGGCCCTCGCGATTCGGCAATCTGTGCCGAACATGCAGCTCCAGATCCAGGGACGTGAGGGAGGCACTGGAGCGTGCAATGAGGGGTCCCAGGGTGCGCAGGTGATCTGGTTTGGTGAAGGTGAGGTCAAGGGAGTGGAACCCGCGGTGGTGGAGAAAGAAGCGGAGTTTTTTCATCCAGTTTGGGTAACGATGGTTGCAGATGAGCGAGATCAGCTGACTTTCCTGCAGTGAAACAACACCAAGCTTCGTCAGGCACGGAGACGATGGTCCGCATGGAGACGATGGTCCGCATGGAGACGATGAGAGGACGTCGCTGACAGAGAAAAAAGAGAACGTGCAGAAAGATTCCTTAACATTCTAAATCGATAACGAATCGCTCACATGACTCAGTGAGGAGACGACGTGCTAGCTAACTGCTTAGGAATTAAGAAAATTGATCAAAGTGACTTACAGAGAAGGAGAGAACGTGCTCCAGGAGGCTCTTGCTGGCGAGAGCGCAACACAGCAGAGGCCAGGAGGCGCCGTACTTGTCCGTATCCCTCCTGTGCCGCTCGCTACAACCCGTGCAGTCAGGATCAGGAGACACTCGTAGATCCGCATCCCTCAGATGCTCTCCAGCCGCGCGCTGCATCCGCAAACGATCCCCTGAAATGATCGCAGGGACGTCCGGCTGGGCTGGTGGCAGCAGCAGGCGGCGGAATATGAGGTGCCAGAGGGGAGCTGGCAGCATGTCCACTGCATCTGAGGTGCGGGTTCAAGGGTGGAAGGGAACGAAATGGACAATAGGATTATAGGAATGTTATTTTTATTGTCTAGAAAATAAAAAAGCACAATTCAGAATGGAAACAACAATCACGACATGATCAGTGTCAGGAAATAAAGCTAAAGGTTCGCTTGCTTGAGGGTGGAGCCTACGCATCACCCGAAGCTTCAGGAAAGCCAAGGGAAATTCGTTCTCGAAACTGGAACGATACTCACAAACGTCATAAGTCCTACTAGATGCGGACCTGATTCGTCCATTGTCTCAGTCGGGATTGCTTCGACGAGAATAGAGAGCATGAGCACGAGACGAGTCGCTGTGAAACTCGCCGAAAGTGACCGAAAGAGGAGAGGCGATGGATAGAGGCACCCATAGCTGCGAAGAAGAATGCTTTGTGCAATGGCTGGATGCCCAACTTCGAGGACAACGCAAGGCGTCTTGGCTCGAGCTGACGGTGGGACCGCCATGGCTGACCTCGGGAGCTCATGCAATGCGATCAAATGTGTTCGAATCGATCCATTCTCGCCAGAGCGAAGGAAAATGTTCAGTCAAGGATCGTAAAAAGTGTACTTGCACTATTGTACTGTCATGTGCTATTATTATGATAAATGAGGTAGACTTGGCAAACATGTACCGTACGTGGGGCGGTGACTGTGTGCGGTGTTGCGGCATTGTCTGTCTGTTAGGGGGTATTCTGCCAGTTCATAGCACGATGCGGTAAGGTACTAAGGTCCATTGTTGTAGGCTGGGATATGCAAGAAACGTCACTACAGCATTCCTTCCAACCCACAACACAAACCACTCTTCTACATCGGTTAGCCGACTCCCTAAGCCGGTGCAGCAAGCATCACAGCTCGAAGCAGGTGTGTGCCGCCCACAGCATAGCACAGCACAGTACAGCGATTCCTAAGGCAATCATGCACTCGCAGTAGCAGAAGCAGCAGCAGCATCAGCAGCCACAGGCGTGTCTCCCCGGGGGGTAAGCCTGCACCAGAGCCCATACTTAGTGTGCATGGCGGCCTCATGACCATCTGTGTGTCCTCCGGTGGCCCGTCAACACACACTTTAACCCGGCGCAAAATCACGCGTTGGCAGTCGCAGCAGCGGAAGCATCAGCAGCCACAGCTATGCCTTCCCGCGGCGTGAGCCGGCACCAGAGCCCAGACTTGGTGTGCATGGTGGCTCCCATGACCATCTCGGTGTCCTCCGGTGGGCCATCCAGACGCACGTTGAAGCGGCGGAGGATCATGGCGAGCGCCACTGTGGACTCCATCAGCGCGAACTGGTCCCCCACACACTTGCGCGGGCCGCCACCAAAAGGGAGGAAGGCGAAATCAGAGGCCACCTGGAGGGAAGGAAGGAGTGTTGGAGAAGGGGGAGTGTGGGAGTGTACGCCTATTCTTGTGGTGATACCATGAAGACACACACACACACACACACACCTCGTTGGGGTAGAGAGCCCCTGCCAGCCGGTCAGGATCATACCCATCCCACCCTTCAATGCCCTTGGGCCTTGCCACATGTCCCTGGTGCCCCAGTAGTCTCACCTTAATGGCCTAATAAGGGTAACGCACGCACCTCGTTGGGGTAGAGCGCCCCTGCGAGCCGGTCAGGGTCGTATCCATCCCACCCGGGGATGCCATCGCCGCTCCTCCTCTCCAGGAACCTCTCCGGCCGAAACTCCTCCGGATTCTCCCAGTAGTGCGGCGAGCGGTTGATGTTGAACACCTGGGGAAGAAGGAGGAGAGGGGGCGAGGGGGAGAGGGTGAGAGGTGGGGGGGATCGATCGAGCACATTTTTTCATTAAACCATACGGTATGTGCTCCCAGAGGTGCGGCGACCGGCTGATGTTGAGCAGTTGGAGAAGGTGGAGGAGAGGGGGGGAGGAGAGGTGGGGAGGAGGGGGGGCGAAGTTCAAGAGAACAGACTAAACATGTCAAGTGCACTGCACTGTGTCTGCTTCTAGAAGTGCGGCGAGCGGTTGATGTTGAACACTTGGGGAAGGAGGGGCGGGGTGCGGGGGGGGGGGGCTGGGAGGGTGCGGGGTTGAAAAGAGGAACCGAGGAGAGGAAAGGCGAGCGGTTGATGCTGAACTGTGGACCTGTTGCTCTCACGGCTCATGATCACATGCTTGTTTGCTGGGCTTGAGGAGGGAGGATGGAGAGTCGCAGTGAACCAAATTTAGGGGTGAAAACAAACAGAGAGTGGGGAAAGTGGAATGCGAGTGACCAGGAGAGTGAGGGTGCGGGAGTGGCGGGGTGAGTGAGGGGGAGTGTGTGTGGGAGGAGCTTCTTCCAGAGACAGAGAGACACGTGCCCTTGGGAATACTTTTGAGGCGCCTCAAAAGGGGGGAGTGTGTGTGGGAGAGGAGGCTCACAGAGACAAAGAGGTCGGTGCCCTTGGGAAGGTTGTAGCCCTCGGGATTGCCCTTGTACCCAGCTGCCATGGGGACACGCAGAGGGTTGTGGGGATGGGATGAGATGGTAGCCATGGGGGATGGGATGGGATGAGATGGTAGCCATGGGGGATGGGATGGGATGAGATGGTAGCCATGGGAGAGGGGATGGGATGAGATGGAAGCCATGGGAGAGGGGATGGGATGGATGGTAGCCATGGGAGAGGGGATGGGATGAGATGGTAGCCATGGGAGAGGGGATGGGATGAGATGGTAGCCATGGGAGAGGGGATGGGATGAGATGGAAGCCATGGGAGAGGGGATGGGATGAGATGGTAGCCATGGGAGAGGGGATGGGATGAGATGATAGCCATGGGAGAGGGGATGGGATGAGATGGAAGCCATGGGAGAGGGGATGGGATGAGATGGTAGCCATGGGAGAGGGGATGGGATGAGATGGAAGCCATGGGAGAGGGGATGGGATGAGATGGTAGCCATGGGAGAGGGGATGGGATGAGATGGAAGCCATGGGAGAGGGGATGGGATGAGATGGTAGCCATGGGAGAGGGGATGGGATGAGATGGTAGCCATGGGAGAGGGGATGGGATGAGATGGTAGCCATGGGAGAGGGGATGGGATGAGATGGAAGCCATGGGAGAGGGGATGGGATGAGATGGTAGCCATGGGAGAGGGGATGGGATGAGATGGAAGCCATGGGAGAGGGGATGGGATGAGATGGTAGCCATGGGAGAGGGGATGGGATGAGATGGTAGCCATGGGAGAGGGGATGGGATGAGATGGTAGCCATGGGAGAGGGGATGGGATGAGATGGAAGCCATGGGAGAGGGGATGGGATGAGATGGAAGCCATGGGAGAGGGGATGGGATGAGATGGTAGCCATGGGAGAGGGGATGGGATGAGATGGAAGCCATGGGGATGGGATGGGATGAGATGGTAGCCATGGGAGAGGGGATGGGATGAGATGGAAGCCATGGGGATGGGATGGGATGAGATGGTAGCCATGGGAGAGGGGATGGGATGAGTTACGGATGTGGGGCAGTGGAGAAGGGTCACACGCAAGTTGAAGCTGCATGGCAGCAGCTCCTTGTCACAGCAGGGCGAGTTTTGGTGTACAAGGCAGCAGGACATGAGAAGTGCATGCATGCAGTATATGTCGGTGCCTTGCACAAGGCAGCAGCTCCATGCACAAGGCAGCAGCTCCTTGCACAAGGCAGCAGCTCCTTGCACAAGGCAGCAGGGTATCTTGACGCACACAGAGAAGCAAATAAGTCAATGCTCTCACGCATCTCTTGGCATGTGTTAGAATCTCTCGTGAGAGTTATGTCGGTGCACAAGAGAGGGACATGGCTCGGGCATGCAGCTCTCATGACAACACGCACGCAGAAGCAACAGTGGGATTGAAACTGGAGAGCTGCTTACATGGCAGATGGTCATTGGCCAGCGCACGGCGAATGAGCAGCGGCGGTTGGGGGTAGAGCCTGAGAGCCTCTGATACCACCAGGCGGGTGTACCTGTGGGGGGAGATGGGCGAGGTGGGGGAGAGGGGTCGGGAAAAGGGGTGATGGAGATGGGGGAGAGGGTTGGGGGAGATGGGGGAGAGGGTTGGGGGAGATGGGGGAGAGGGTTGGGGGAGATGGGGGAGAGGGTTGGGGGAGATGGGGGAGAGGGTTGGGGGAGAATGAGTGGGAGAGAGGAGCGGGAGAGAGGGTTGAGAGAAAAGGGTGGGAAAGAAGGCTGGGATGGAAGAGATGGGAGGGGTTGGAAGGATGGTGGTGGAAGGAAGATGGGTGAGCTGAAGGACCTTGATTGCTTGATTGAGGACGATGCTGGGATGATGAGAGAGGAAGCATGGGAGGATTGTCATGTCCCTTACGAGATTCCTCAAGAGAAAGATCAAAGGCGCTGTTTGAGTGTGCGGCATGGCATGGCAGGGCAGGGCACTCACTCGAGGGACTTGATGTCTTGCAGCGTGGCCAGCCGGTCGCCCAGCACTGCGTCCACCTCCTCCTGTAGCTTCGCCAGCACTCGCGGGTGCTGCGAGGGGTGGGAAGGGGGACGAGGGACTGATGGAAAGGGGTCAACGGGGAGGGATCCCCCCCCGCACTGTGTCCACCTCCTCCTGTAGCTTCGCCAGCACGCGTGGGTTCTGTGAGGGGTGGGGGGAAGGAGGAAGAAGGAAAGATGGAGAGAAAAACGTGAGATGGAAAGGGGTCAAGAGGGAAGGGATCTGGCATCGCGGTCCTCCCCACGCAGGTCCACCAGGAAATTGATGAGCTGGCTTAAAAGCTTTGCCTTACCTGGGCGAGCATGTAGGTAGCCCAGGTGAGCACGGCAGCGGTGGTCTCGTGCCCCGCAACCAGCATGGTCATGAGGTCGTCCCACGGCTGCTTGGTGCACCTACCCACTCCCTACCTACATGCACTGCCTCGTAGACACACCCTCCACGCACCTGAGCGAGCATGTAAGTAGCCCAGGTGAGCACGGCAGCGGTGGTCTCGTGCCCGGCCACCAGCATGGTCATGAGGTCGTCCCTCAGCTGCTTGTCATCGCAGTCCTCCCCCCGCAGGTCCACCAGGAAGCGCAGCAGGCTGGCGTCCCGCACCTTGCTGTAGTCCCTCTGCTGCAGCGCCTCTAGATCGTCCTCCTGCCAGGTAGGGGCAATGCGAAAAGGAGGGGAGGGAGAGAGGCATGAAGTGGCAGGGAGCAGGGAGAGGAGAGAGAGATCAAGGGGAGGGACATAGAGTTCTCCCCGCGCAGGTCCACCAGGAAGCGCAGCAGACTCGCGTCCCGCACCTTGCTGTAGTCCCTCTGCTGCAGCGCTTCCAAGTCGTCCTCCTGAGAGGAGAGATATGGGACAGGGGAAGGAGCAGGCATGAAGGGGAAGGGGAAGGGGAGGGAGAGAGGAGGCGGCAACAGGAGGGCCTAAAAGTCCTCTGATGCGAAAAGGAGGGGAGGGAGCAGGGAGAGGAGAGATCAATGGGAGGGACGTAGAGTCCTCTTCCCGCAGGTCCACCAGGAAGTGCAGCAGACTGCCGTCCCGCACCTTGCTGTGGACTCTAGTCCCTCTGCTGCAGAGACTCCAAATCGTCCTCCTGGCAGGCGTGTAACGGGAGGAGAGCAGCAGGAGTAGGAGCCAAGGGCGAGGAACGAATTGGCAGGGGTAGGGAGAGGAGATGCCACGGAGGGGCTTAGATTCCTCGTGCTGCCGCAGAGCTTCGCGAAGAGGGCTTTAGAGACCTCCCCCCTAGGCGATGTGGGAAGGGCGGGGGGAAGAGGTGACGAGGGAGAGGAGGGAGAGACGAGAGGCAGGGCTGGAGGGGAGAAAGAAGGAAGAAAGGGCAGCACGGTGTATGAGCGGATGGGGCCCCATACCATATCTCTTTCACTTCCCTCATCCCCCTTAGCCCTGACTACTGGCACCCACTTGGTTAATGGCACTGACTTGCCAAGTGGCGCTCATTTGCCGAGTGGCGCTCAATTGCCGAGTGGCGCTCAATTGCCGAGTGGCGCTCATTTGCCGAGCGGCGCTCATTTGCCGAGCGGCGCTAACCACTCACCATTCTCATCCGCTGGCCTCACCTGGCGCGTGGCACGGGCGCGGGTGATGAGGTCGTCGAGGCAGTCGTTGATGACCTTGAGGTCCTGCTGGAACTTCATCTGGCGCGGCACCACCAGGCTGGTGGGGTGTTTGGTGGGGGAGGGGTGGGAAGGGGAGGGGTTAGAGGGTGGTGAAGGGGCGACAGGGGGGGTGGGCGGCAGAAGGTGGCAGTCGTTGATCACCTTGAGGTCCTGCTGGAACTTCATTTGGCGAGGCACCACCAGGCTGGGAAGGAGACGGGTGGGAGGTGGTGGAGGGGGGGGTGTGACAGGAAGATGCATTGGGTTACTGGCCCAGACCGCAGCAGTCGCTGATGCCGTTTGAAGTCCTGCTGAAACTTCATATGGCGTGGCACCACCAGGCTGACGGGGAAAGGAACAGGGGGGATGGGGATGGAGGAGGAGCAAATAGTGGAGGTGAAGTGAGGAGGAAAATTGGTAGCAACTCAAATTCCGCACTCATCCACATCCATTTCAGTCAACAGATGAGAGGCACCCCCGTTGCACTGGCACTTGACGGGCCATCTCACTTAGCCATCCAATCAACCCCCATCTTACCAAGGGGATGCTCCCAGAAGGGTGTCCCACTCACCCATCTTATAACGGGTATGTTTCAGTAAGGGCGTCCCACCTTATAAAAGGGATGTTCCAGTAGGGGATGTAGAAGGTGGCACGGTGCTCGGCCTCGGACAGCGTGCCATACACGGCCTTGATGACGGGCGACTCGCGCGTCACCGACCCAAAGTCATAGTTGAACACGGAGATGCCAATGATGTCCAGCGCTATGGACGAGTACTCCGACTCCATGTCCATGCGCACGCCCTCACCCGCCGCCGTGGCTCCAGCCTGGTCGCACAGTGCCTGCAGCTTGTCGACAGAGCACTTGGAGCACTCGGAGAACACCAGCGCCATGGCCTCCAGATAGGCGGCATGGAAGCCCGGCACAATGGCTGGGGGTGGGTGAGGGGTGGGAGGATGGGTGGGGGTGGGGGAAGCGGCAGGGAGAGGAAGGGGGAAAGGCAGCAAGAGAGGGGTGGTTGAACACAGAGATCCCAATGACGTCCATGTCCTTGAACGCGATGGACGAGTACTCCGATTCCATGTCCACCCGCACGCCCTCTGTGCTGCTGCCTTGGGCGTCCTGGTTGCAGAGCACTTGGAGCATTCTGAGAAGACCAGCGCCATGGCTTCGAGATATGCCGCGTGGAAGCCCGGCACAATGGCTGGGGGGGTAAGGGGGTGGGTGGGTGGGTGGGTGGGTGAAGTGGCAGGGAGAGAGGGGATGCTGATGATGTCTGGCACAGTAGCCAACCATTTCGCCTTCATGCCGCAGACACTGGAACTAACCAGTGCTCACCCCTCACCTCTCACTCATCCCTTTCCTCCACTAACAATCCCTCACGCCCCTCACCCCTCTCACCACTATCTGCACACCAGCCTCACTTATCATATCACCACCCCTTACCGCCCTTCCCTCACCACTGCTCACCTCGCCTACGCTGCATCCACAGGTCGAAATCAGCGAGGATGAAACCTTTACCCATGACGGACTTATCAACCCCTTTCTGCTCGCTTTTCCACTAATAACCCCTCACCCCACTCACCCTCACCATCCCTCACCACCCCTCTCCACCGCTCACCTCGTCTGCGCTGCTTCCATGTGTCAAAGTCAGCGGGAATGAGCCCCTTGCCCATGATGGGCTCCAGCAGCTCCGCCAGCATGCCCTGCGCAGCGAGAGGGGGAGGGGAGCAAGGGGCGGGGGAGAGGAGGGAGCAACATTGGGGAATGAGCCCCTTGCCCATGATGGGCTCCAGCAGCTCCGCCAGCATGCCCTGCGCAGCGAGAGGGGGAATGGAGCAAGGGGTGGGGGAGAGGAGGGAGCAACATTGGGGAATGAGCCCCTTGCCCATGATGGGCTCCAGCAGCTCCGCCAGCATGCCCTGCGCAGCGAGAGGGGGAGGGGAGCAAGGGGTGGGGGAGAGGAGGGAGCAACATTGGGGAATGAGCCCCTCGCCCATGATGGGCTCCAGCAGCTCCGCCAGCATGCCCTGCGCCAAGCGGGGGAGGGGAGCAGAGCAGCGTTGGGGGAAACAAGGATAGAGGGGCATGATGAGATCCAACAGCCCCGCCAGTACCGCACGGAGGGAGGGGAGCAGGGGGACGCCAGAATGGTTGGGTTCAGGAGGGATGGAGGATACAGGGCAGTAAAGAGCAGTGCTGGGCAATACTGGATCGGCAATTGAGTTACAGCCGCGGTGCAACTATCTTAGGAACAGTGTCAAACCGGGTTTTGTCTTGTTCCGTACTGGTAGTCGTGTAAGTCGTGTTGCGATGAAAACATCTAAGGTGAATGTCGCGAACCTCGAAAGGAAAAGTGGGGGGGAAGGGGTTGGGGGGAAGGAAAGGGGGGAACACACACGAAACGGGAAATGGGACCACATCAACACCCCCATACTCCCTTTCGCTGATTGTTCTGCCAATAACACCTCCACATTGCAAAACGAGAAACCTTATGTTCCAAAAAAGCTGCGCAAAATACCAATTTCACTTTCAAGTTTTATTTTGGTTTATTTATCCATCCATTTGCAAGAGTAATATTTCTAATGGGGAGAAAGAACATCAACTGTACAGATGTGCAAGACTTGGAATGTCATATTGAAATCCTTATTATGCTAAGGATAAAAGCAAACATGGCATCATCCAAGGAGAGCAGATTTTTACACTCCGATCCACTATTGGTACAGCTGTCCATTTGCAGGGAGGAGGGGGGAGGGGAAAGGGGGGAGGGGGGGGGGGGAGGTGGGGAAGGGAAGGAAACGTTGCACATTATTGAAGAATGTTAGGTAGGGAAATTGAAGAGAGCATGGAAACTGAGATATGATAGACAGCCTTCAGTGGCCAAGCAAAGCTGGTACTGTCGGCTGGGCTGGACGAGAGAACGTAGTGGAAAGGGAAGGGACGGTAGTGGGGGAAAGCGAGGGACAGGGGAGGGGGGAAAGGGATGGCTGAGAGAAGCGTGAATGGTGGGAGAGGACAGTAAGAAAGGAAGGGATGTGAGAGAGGGGGAGGAAGGGTGGGAGGGAGAGAGGACAGGGGGAAAGGGAGAGAACGACAGGGGGAAAGGGAGAGGCGGACAGGGAGAAATGGAGAGGAGGACAGGGGGAAAGGGAGAGGAGGACAGGGGGAAAGGGAGAGGAGGACAGGGGGAAATAGAGAGGAGGACAGGGGGAAAGGGAGAGGACAGGGGGAAAGGGAGAGGAGGACAGGGGGAAAGGGAGAGGAGGACAGGGGGAAAGGGAGAGGAGGACAGGGGGAAAGGGAGAGGAGGACAGGGGGAAAGGGAGAGAAGGACAGGGGGAAATAGAGAGGAGGACAGGGGGAAAGGGAGAGGAGGACAGGGGGAAAGGGAGAGGAGGACAGGGGGAAAGGGAGAGGAGGACAGGGGGAAAGGGAGAGGAGGACAGGGGGAAAGGGAGAGGAGGACAGGGGGAAAGGGAGAGGAGGACAGGGGGAAAGGGAGAGGAGGACAGGGGGAAAGGGAGAGAAGGACAGGGGGAAATAGAGAGGAGGACAGGGGGAAAGGGAGAGGAGGACAGGGGGAAAGGGAGAGGAGGTCAGGGGGAAAGGGAGAGGCGGACAGGGGGAAAGGGAGAGGAAAACAGGGAGGGCACTGGCCAAGCGAAGTTGATGCTGAGGATCGGGCAAGGGATCGGAAAGGGGGAGGCATTGGAAAGGGGGAAATTGGATGGGACGGGAGGTGACAGGGTGGGACGCGAGATGCTTCGCCACCGTCGCACAGATGCTTCGCTCCGCTGCTCGCTATCGTCGCCCTGGTGCTCGCTATCGTCGCCCTGGTGCTCGCTATCGTCGCCCTGCTGCTCGCTATTGTCGCCCTGGTGCTCGCTATCGTCGCCCTGGTGCTCGCTATCGTCGCCCTGGTGCTCGCTATCGTCACCCCGCTGCTCGCTATCGTCGCCCCGCTGCTCGCTATCGTCGCCCCACCGCTCGCTATCGTCGCCCCGCTGCTCATATCGTGAGAGTTTGCCGAGTTTGAGTTGTTTTGAGTTCAAGTTTGAATTTTCAAGTTTGCTGCCTGCGCTCCCCCTCATCTCGTTGAGCGGAGCTTTTCCCCGAGCCCTCCCCCGTTTCCCCCCCCACACATCATACTGCGAAGGACTTTTCCGCACGCCCTTCCCCCGCTGGCAGAACCCTCTCCCTGCTCGCTTTCCTGTGTATACTGGGTTACGCGGCTTTCAAACTATAATAGTTTGAACTGGAGCCGGGATATCTGCACCACGGCTTTAAAAAAAAAAGCATGATGGGCTGTAGCAGCACCGCCTGTGCCGTGACGAGGGGAAGGAAGCAAGGGGGTGACAGCAGCGAGGGGAATGCACGGGAATAGAGAGCAGTGTTGGGCGGGATGTACCAGCTGTTGAGCGGTGGGGTGCGGTATCAATCAGTATAATCTCATCCGACGAGTCAGAGGCGTACCTTGTCATAGGCGAAGGGTTTCTCTTTGAGCACGTGGCGCGCAACGATTGGGTCAGAGATGACCACGAAGGCCTTGGGGCCGAAGGCGAGACGGTACACGCCTCCTAGCTGCACGCGCGGGACGGGGGAAGGGGGAAGAGGGGGAGTGGAAGGCGGAAAAATGGGGGAGGGGGGATGAAAGGGAGATCTTTAATCAACGTCGTTATTTGTCGCCGAAGGCGAGACGATGCACGCCTCCTAGTTGCATGCGAGGGAGGGGGAAGGGGAGGATGAAGAAGGAGCGTTCTGAGTCGACTCGATAAATAAGTCTTTGTCTACTAGACGGGACACGGAACCTAGCTGCACACGAGGGACTGGAAAAGGAGCAAAGAGCAGAGAGCGGGGAGCAGGGAGCAGAGAGGGGAGAGCGCGGACTAGTGCAGGGAGCAAAAAGCAGAGAGCAGGGAGCGGGAAGTGCTCACCTCGAGGAACCAGTTGTGGAGGGCGAAGAAGAGCGGGCGGCCGACGAGGTCCGACACCTCGCCGGACGCTGTGGGCATGCCCGACATGTCGCCGCCGCTCAGCACGCGCGTGAGCAGATTGCTGCCCAGGTCGTACAGGCTCTGAAGGGAGGGAGGTAAGAGAGGCGGGGGGTGGTGGAGGAGAGAGGGGGGCTTGAGACGTTGGAGAGACACCTGGGCCGAGACGGTAGGCAAGCTCGACATTTCGCCGCCGCTCAGCACGCGCGTCAGCATGCTGCCGAGTCGTACATGCTCTGATCTGATGGGAGCGGAGGGAGAGGTGGGCGGCTTTTGAGATGTTGCAAACGACACATCGCACAAATCGCACGAGGCTGTGGGCATGCCCAACATGTCGCCGCCGCTCAGCACGCGGGTGACCAGATTGCTGGCAGAGTCGTACAGGCTCCGAGCGGAGAGAGGCAAGAAGGTCCTTGAGGCCGCCTCACCCTCATCCTTGAGGCGCCTAAAAAATCCCTGAGCATGAGGGTGAGCAGGTTGCTGGCAGAGTCGTACAGGCTCCGAGGGGAGGGAGGCAGGAAGGGGGAGAATGAAACCATTCGCATGAAGTCTGAACAGGGGCGCGAGAGCGAGAGCATTGGGAATGGAGGGGGATGTGGAGCAAAGCGCATGGAGGGGGGATGTACCTGCATTGCGGGCTTCTCCTTATTAGAGTCGCCATTTCCGCCGGACCCGGACGAAGCAGCTCTGATGGGAGCAACGTGCCGCTGCTTGCCTGCATTCACGCACAGCGCCAAAAGCAGCGTAAAATATCGGAAAAATCAGTTTAAGATTGTATCGCGTGGTCGAACCAGCCGCATTTAACGTGCGTGCGCTACCATCGCCGTTCAGAGAACTCACACGCGGTGGTGTGAAACAACAAACATTCTAGAATGGGAAGCAATACCAGTCTACAAATTTCATAATATGTGAACGCGTTGACTATTAGCGTTTTAATCATGTTGAAAATCATTTGAAGAGTTCAATGGTGATACTTAACTCTCAATGTGAAAAAAAGGTGTTATATATATGTACTTTGCTTTGTTTAGCCAATTACCCGCGAAAGAAACGCTCGCTGCTGGCTGCTTTCGGCCGCACGAGAGACTCTTGCTCCCTGCGACGAACGAGGAGGCACTCTGACCGACGCCGACCCCCGCGGTCGACAATGACGCCATGGCCGCTCCTCAAGCACGAGCGACGCGAGATGAAGGAATGCGAAAACTAGACGGGGAGGATCAATCCGAAGCCTCGCGATTGATCTGGCTCCGAAGCAGAACCACTAAAGTCTGCTTCAGAGACCTTGGATAATCAGAAAGAGGATTAGGAGGATCAATTGGGCAGACTGTCCAACTTGATCAGCTCAACAGATCTCCCAAGGAGCTGGAGAGGAACGAGCTGGCGCGGAAAGGCGTGGGGGGGGGAGAAAGAGAGGGACGGGTTGTGGGGGGAGAGCGGGGAATGTCAGAAGTAAAGCAAGTGAAGCGGGAGGGAGAGTCCGCAAGTGGGCGGGGGAGGGTGAATGGAAACCGGGGCCGCGCGCGACGAGATCGAGGGAAGTGACGAAGTGCGACGAGAGGGTGGGACTGCGCGAGCGAAGACGGGCGAGGAATTTCATTTCCCCCTCCCCGTCGAAATTCGTTTCCCCCCTCCCCCGCAATTTTGTTTCCCCCCTCCCCCGCAATTTCGTTTCCCCCCCCTCCCGCCAATCTGTTTCATCCCTCCCGCCATTCGGTTTCACCCACTCCCGCCATTTCACCCCCTCCCGCCACCTACGAAATGCCCGAAGCTCTAGCGGAATCATTTTTTTGTCGCCCCTCGTGAGCCAATCACTGTTTTTCTCCAAACCCCCTTCCCAACATCTCAAGCCGAACCGCGTTGATTGTGCACCCTGGTTTTAAAATCGTGAGAAATGCGTAAAGAGGGAAGCACATTCGCCATGGTTTATTGACAGATTGCGAACCCCAATCGCTTTCCTTCCGCTTTTACGCGTCAGCATTATCCATATCCAGCGAGTCGTAAAATCGGCAGACGACGTAACAACGTCGGTGTGAAAGTCAGAATATGTGAAAAACACTAGCATTATACAAATTTCGAACACCCTATCACACATGCATAATATCCGGATCTTTCCACAAGCTCGAGTTGCTAATTCCTTGCGTTCCCTCACGCGCATTAATGAGTAGAAGATCTGAAACTTCTCTTTCTCGCATCTCTTTCTCGCGCACTTGTGTTTCCTCTTCTATTTTTGCCATACTCTTCTCGTCCAACCTTATTGTCCTTTCCACTTCCCTTTCCTCTTCATCCCTATCCATGTTGCTTTCACCAGACTCAACCCCATCCTCCCCTTCATCCTCCTCATCATCATCATCCACACCAACACTCACCCCTCGTCCCCCAACCACACCTCGAAGCCTTTGCCTCTTGGCAGGCCTATCCCACCTCCCTCCATCATCCAACCCCTTGCCAGACCCAGTATCACCACTTCTTCCCACATCTGCCCTGCCTAACCCCCCTCCCCTCACCTCCCTCCCTTCCAGCTTCTTCTTCCTTCCCCTCTCTTCTCCAGTACCTCCCCACTCCTCATTCCCCACCTCCTCGCCTCTCTTCCCCCCCTCCCCAAAGCACATGCATGCCTCGTCGCGTGGATGCCTGTACACACTCCGAGACACCCTCCGCTTCCGCACACTCTTGCTCTCCCCCACCATCGCCCTCACTCGCTCCTCCACCTCCTCCCACTCCATTATCCTCTCCTCCGCATCCCCAATCCACTCTTCCCCTGCCCGCAAATCTTTCCCGCCGCCCAGATCCTCCGCCAGCTGTGCGCGGTTGATACGCACAGACGGCCTGTAACCATGCTGGTAACCATATTTTTTGTCAGATCTGGATCCGAAGTACATGCGCCGCCCGGCCACGAGCGCTGCCAGCTGGCTGCTGCCGTCCGCGGCAAGGAAGAGATCTGATTCGCTGGCCACAATGGTTTCAAGGGCGGTGATCTGGACGAGGGAGAAGTAGCAGCAAAGAGATGAGCATGAGGGATGATGGTGAGTGTGAGGGATGATGGTGAGTGTGAGGGATCATGGTGAGCGAGTGTGTGGGATGAATGGTGATGGGAGATGCAAGTGCATGGTGTGTGGTGAATGGTGAATGGAATGAAAGTAACTCACTAGGAGAGGCGAGTGGGAGTAGGGGGCGATCTCGAGAGGGGAGAGGAGGGTATCGATGGACAAGAGGAAGGGGAAGAGCGCTCGCACTGCCTCCAACCGCCGGCACCCGTTGAACCACCGCCTGCCCGGCCCCCTCAGCTGCTGCTCCTGCTGCGCCCTAATCCACCCCTCCTCCTCCCGCCACTCTTCCTCCCTCCCACCCTGCATCCCACCATCCCCACCGCTCAGCACCGATTCACCCCCAAGCACCAGCCTGCACGGCTCAGCGGACACCCCTACGAGAAACAGCGGGCGCATTCTCCCCACGCCCATGCCGGCCAGCACCAGCGCCGCCTCCTCAGGGGCGACGGGGCAGCGGCCGATGCGGCGGTACCAGTCGGGGGCGTTGAGGCGGCCCTGCTGCTCGTACGCGTGCAGCACGGGGAACAGCAGCCGCCGGATGTCCCTCAGCTCCTCCGCTTCCTCCTCCGCCTCATCCCGCTGTTGGCCCTGGCCCTGCTGCTCGTACTGGTTGTCGTGTTGGTTCTGGTCTTGGGTTTGGTTGTGGTGATCGTTGTGGTGGTGGCGAGCGGTGAAGGAGCAGAGGGAGTAGGCGGCTGAGACGGCGTCAAAGGGGATGTGAGCCGCCACGTAGCGAGGGATGCCTGCTGGGGGCTCTGGCTCTTGAGAACCCAAATGGCCTATGCCTGAGTGCACTTGCCCAGATGTGTCATTCACCCGACCTTTCACCTGTGCTCTCACCTGACTCTCAACCTGGCCTTCCATCCTTTCTCTTTCATATTTTTTGCCCTGATTTTCCCCATTCCCAGCACCTCGCTTCCCTGCTTCATCCTCGCCGTCCATCCACTGCTCTTGCACACGTGGCAGTGCCCCAGCGGCTGATCGTAGCCGTTGGATGGCCAGCTGTGCGGTGGCATGGACGGCTGGCAGGAAGGTGAGGGCGTGGAACATGCATCGACAGCGCAGGCGCTGTCAGAGGGGAGATGGGATGGGATGGAAGGAGGGCGAGGGGAGTGGGGGCGGGAAGAGGTGAGGGTGTGAGGGAGAGAAGACGGATAGTAGGAAACGAACTAGCGGGAGGAGATGAGATGAGATGGGTGAATTAGGATTTGGGGTGGAGTGGAAGTGAGGGAAAAGAGAAGCGTAGAGAGGAGCAATTTACGGGGGGGAGGTGAAATGTAAGCAGGTGCACACGGTGCTGTGCGGCGCAGGTGCCTTGCAGTATTTCACAACACACTGTGCGGTGCAGTGTGGTGCTGAGCGCACCTGAACATGCAGCGGCATGGGGTCGGAGGCGAGGGCGTTGAGGAAGCCGTGGAAGTGGATGAGCCCCACGCGCCTCATCAGCGGCACCAGGCGCAGAAAGAGCTGCAGTGGCACTTCCCGGGGGAACTGCTTCTCAGATACCTGCTTGCAGGGTAAGTGGAGGGGATAGAACGAGGTCTCTTGAGGTGCCTCACCAGGCGCAGAAAGAGCTGCAGTGGTACTTCCCGGGGAAACTGCTTCTCAGATACCTGCTTGCAGGGGAGGAAAGAATGGGGGGGGAAGAGGAGGACGAGGTACAAGGAAGAGAGAGAGAGAGTAAGGATATTACCGGATGAATCTTCATGTTTTCTACCTCGCATGAATGAACACAAAGGACCATTTGAGGTGTTTTGGGTCGACATTTGAGTCGACTTTTGAGTGACTTATGAGTGACTTTTGAGTCGACTTTTGAGTGACTTTTGAGTCGACTCAAAAGTCACCTTATTACCAGATGGATCTTCATGTTGTCTACCTCGCATGAATGAAAACAAAGGACCGTTTGAAGTGCTTTGGGTCGCCTCAACAGGCACAGGAAGAGCTGCAGTGGCGTCTCTTGGGGGGAAACTGCTTCTCCAATACCTGCTTCCAGAGCGGCCCTAGCAACCCCAACTGCCACAACAGCCACAATAGGCTCAACAGGCACAGCAGCCACATCAGGCAAAGCAAGCAAAGGAGCCAAATGAACATGCAACCCACGAAGCTACTCCTACTCCGACACTGGACTAGGACACCGACATTGCAAAGAGAACAGTAGGATTGCTGTTTCCCTCCTGTGTTGACTCACCACAACAACAACAACAAGGATGACTCACGTTGACTCCCAACAAGGATGACTCACGTTGACTCACAACAAAAACAACAAGGATGACTCACGTTGACTCCCAACAAGGATGACTCACGTTGACTCCCATGATGTTGACATTGAGAGACTGGAAGGAGGGGGGAAGCTTCCTGATGACCCTGACATGAGGCGCAAGCGATGTGATGAAGTGATCCGAGTCGAATACCTCCCCGAACTGGCTGAATGGCGCCCTCCCCTCGCACGCACACACAACCCCCCCTCCCCCAACCGCACACAGTCCCATGCATGGAAGCAAGCACAAGAGAGGCAAGCACAAGAGAGGCAAGCACAAGAGAGGCAAGCACACGAGAGGCAAGCACACGAGAGGCAAGCACACGAGAGGCAAGCACACGAGAGGCAAGCACACGAGAGGCAAGCACACGAGAGGCAAGCACACGAGAGGCAAGCAGAGAATGATGAGATGAAGTTATTTGAGTCAAATGCCTCCCCAAACTGGCTGAATCACATGCTCCCCCCGCACGCACACCCGTTCTCACACTCCCATCCCCACACACTCGCAATCCCCATCACACTCCCCACCCCATGACACCCCCATCGCATCACACTCTCTCCCGCACTACCCTCCTCTCTTCCCACACACACCACATGCAAGGCCCCCAATCCCCTGATACACATGCACTCATGCACAAAATGCACATGCATGCAAGTGCATGCACGACACACACTCACCCACACACGCCCACACCCACACCCACACCCACACCCACACCCACACCAACACCCACACACACACACGCCGATTCATCCACCCACTCATGGAATCACAACCGCACAAGACACAAACATATGATCTCTAATCACCAGCAGGTGCGGAAATGATACGGAAGAGCTGTGCTGCGCTGGAGAGGGAAAGCCACCAAAAGAGGTTGAAGTTGAGGGAAGAAGGTGGGCCCACGTGGGGAAGAACATGTGGCTGAAGGGCTGCACGTGGGCCAACGTGGGCCAACGTGAGCCAACGTGGGCCAACATGGGCCAACGTGGGCCCACGTGGGTGGACGGACATGTGGTAGAGCTGAAGCCCTTGTACGGTGGAAGGGTCGCACTGATGTGTGTGGAGCCAACGGTTGAGCAACGGAATTCAAGAGTGGTTCTACACTCTTGTGTGTACGATACGATTGCTTGTGTGCTGTGCAGTGCTGTGCAGTGCTGTGCTGTGCTGTGCTGTGCTGTGCTGTGCTGTGCTGCGCTGCGCTGCGCTGCGCTGCGCTGCGCTGCGCTGCGCTGCGCTGCGCTGCGCTGCGCTGCGCTGCGCTGTGCTGTGCTGTGCTGTGCTGTGCTGTGCTGTGCTGTGCTGTGCACGATGTGGGAGTGGGAGGTGGATCACTAGGCTGAGGGGAAGGAGAGGAAGCGTGGCGGGGGACGGTGTATTTCGAGATTAGGGTTCATGATATACCACTCACAACATACCAGGAGTGGGAAAAGGTTCACCTGGCTGTGAGTTTTAGGATGCCCCTAAAGTTTTAGGATGTCCCAAAAGTTTTAGGATGTCCCAAAGTTTTAAGATGCCCCAAATTTTTTAGGATGTCCCAAAAGTTTTACGATGTCGCAAAAGTTTTAAGATGCCCCAGAAGTTATAGGATGCCCTAAACTCAGGAGGAGAACGGTTGTTTTGAGTCGAATCTGAAAACACTTGGAGTGGGAGGTGGTTCACCTGGGTGAGGAGAAGGAGAGGAAGCGCGGGAGGAGGAGCGTGGCGTTGAGGTAAAACGCGACCGCTGCTGCGTTGCATGTCTGGGGGACAGGTGCGGATGGGAGGGGCGATGGGGTGTGGGCGGTCAGAAAGGGGGAAAAGGGACGAGGGAAGGAATGGAGAGAGGGGAGGAGGAGTGTGGCGTTGAGGTAGCACTCCGCCGCTGCTGCACAAAGGAACAAAAAAGTAGTAGTAAGAGCGAGACAAAGAGTGGGACGAAGATTGAGAGGAAAAGTGCATCTTTCAACCCAAACGATATTCAAACAAGGAGAGATTCACAACTTGATGAGCAGATGACATGGCGGCAGGGAATGAACCGGGGGGGGGGGGGGGGGGGTTGGGTGAGTAAATGGGGACGATGGGAGACAAGCGGGCATTGGGTTCACTCACACTGTGAAGGTTCGGTACATGTGTGTGTGTGCACATGTATGCATGCACTCCCAAGGGTTGGATCCCATGCACATGTACCCTACCATGCACATGTACCCTACCATGCACATGTACCCTACCATGCACATGTACCCTACCATGCACATGTACCCTACCATGCACATGTACCCTACCATGCACATGTACCCTACCATGCACATGTACCCTACCATGCACATGTACCCTACCATGCACATGTACCCTACCATGCACATGTACCCTACCATGCACATGTACCCTACCATGCACATGTACCCTACCATGCACATGTACCCTACCATGCACATGTACCCTACCATGCACATATACCCTACCATGCACATGTACCCTACCATGCACATGTACCCTACCATGCACATGTACCCTACCATGCATATATACCCTACCATGCACATATACCCTACCATGCACATATACCCTACCATGCACATATACCCTACCACGCACATGTACCCATGCTAGTCAGGCACATGTGTGCACATGCATGCATCGCGCAACTTCCCACCTGTTTCCCACCTCCTTCCTTCCTCCTTCCTCCCTCCGCCCTATTGATCCCTCTTCCATGTGGCAAAGCTGACTGCATCACTGAGGCTGCCCATGGCTGCTACGGAGAAGAGCGGACCCGCATCCTCCCTCCCTTCCAGGGTGTTTTGAGAGTTCCCCAAAACACCCTGCTACTCCCTTCCCTTCCCCAGACGCACAGAGGCAGGCAGGCAGGCAGGCAGGCAGGCAGGCAGGCAGGCAGGCAGGCAGGCAGGCAGGCAGGCAGGCAGGCAGGCAACTGACCGCGACTCTGAGCTGGCTGAGACCACCCTTTGCTGCCACAGAGAAGAACGGACCCGCATCCGCCCTTCCCCCGCTGCTGCTGTCGCCATTGCTGCTCCTGCTGCCGCCGCCAGCAGCAGCGGCGCCATCACTACCAGCACCTCTCCTCGGTATATGGCTGGCAGAGTGAGTGGCAGCAGAACCGGCGGGAGCAGAGAGAGAAGAGTCGCCAAGGGCGCATGGGCGCCACTGCAGCGCCTCTGGGGGCTCCTCCCACAGGTCTGGTGGCTCGCGCTGCCATTGCTTCTGGGGAGGGGGGAGGGGGGATGGGGGATGGGGGATGGGGGAAAGTGGAGGGAGAGAGGGAAGAAAGATAATTGTGAGTAGGAACACAGGACTGCACGCCACTGCTCCACCTCTGGGGCCTCCTCCCACACCACAGGTATGGTGGCTCGCACTACCACTGCTTTTGGGGAGGGGGATGGGGAGGGGGGAAAAAGGGGCAATCGTGGGTGAGTGGCAGCTGCAGCGCCAGCAGCGCCGTTTCCTCAGTGAAAGGCCGGCAGAGTGAGCAGCGGCGGCAGCACTATCGGCAGGTGCAGAGAGTGCAGGGTGGTCAAGGGCGCAGGGTGGTCAAGGGCGCAGGGTGGTCAAGGGCGCAGGGTGGTCAAGGGCGCAGGGTGGTCAAGGGCGCATGGGCGCCACTGCAGCGCCTCTGGAGGCTTCTCCCACGGGTCTGGCGGCTTGCGCTGCCACTGCTTCTGATGGGGCGGAACGGGGTTTGGTGGGAGAAACGGGGAAACGGAGGGAGTGAGGGGTGAAGAGGGGGAGTGTTCATTGCCACTGGTGCGCCTCTGGGGGAGTGTTCATTGCCACTGGTGCGCCTCTGGGGGCTACTCCCACAGTTATCGCGGCTCGCGCTGCCACTGCTTCTAATGGGATGGGATGCCGCGGAAAAGGGGGGAAATGGAGGGAGCGTGAGAGCGTGGGTGGAAGGGAGGGAAGGCGGGGAAAGAAAGATCTTGAGTGGAAATACAGGATTGTCACTGGTGTGCCCTGGCTGGACGTTTCCCCACACAGGCCAGGTGACCCTGGTTGCCATGCCACTGCTTCTGATAGGGGATGAAGGGGGAAGAAGGGGTGCGGGAGGAGGGGAAAGGGGGGGACTTTGAGGGAAAATTGAGGAGATTTGAGTGTGGGATATTATGAACAGTAGACAATGACGTGGCTCGGGCTGTCACTGCTTCTGATGGGGAAGAAGGCGCCTCTGAGGGCTCCCAATCTATCTGGGGGCGTCTGTAGGGAAGAGGAAGCGCGTGTTGAGTAGACGCACGTGATTGTCACTGCTCCGCCTCTGGGGGCTTCCCTTCCCACCCTTCGCAAGCAACCACCCACTTCCCCCCCTCCCCCCTCTCCCCCCCGCACGCTCACCGCCACCAGCGATTGCGCTGCGAGGCCCAGGAGCCTGCCTCGCATCGGCGCCGCGCGATTCCCCTCATCCAGACGCAGCGACGGGTACAGTAACGAGGATTGCAATAACGGGGAAGTCTGTGACCCCTGGGACGATGACGCTGACGACCATAACGTCGAATGACGTAAATTTTCTTGTGCTAAGATTTCCTCTGCTCCCCAGCTTTCTCTTCCCCTCCTCCTCAGATGGTCCCCTCCTATCGTGCTTGAAGCAGCGCGCGTGCGATCGTCACCGATCTCCACCACGAATTCTACATCCCACAGGCTGACTAACGCGGCTGCTAGCAGCAGCAGCGCTAGCAGCGGGTGGGGTCTCCGCAGGCAGGAGAAGCGGGGGGAGCGGGAGAAGAGGGGGAAGAGGCCGGCGGTTCGTCGCCGATCAAAGGAAGGCTGGCGTGAGAGTGAGAGAGACGACTTGACGGGCGTGAACGAGAACGGCCACGATTGCAGCCAGAACCGCAGCGACGATCGCAGCCGTCGGAGGATCCTGTTGCAGCGGAGAACGCGGGGAGGGGGGAGGATGGAGCCGGCAGAGGGGGGCCGCGGAATGCCGGCCGCTGAACGCGGGTAGGAGGACTGAAGGGACACGCTTCGACGGACATTGCTAGGGAGAAGGCCGAGCAGAACGGAAGAGAGGGAATCGCGTTCAGTGGTGAAAACGGAGTGCCCCATATGGAGGACGGGAAGGACGGACGTTGCGAGCGTGACCCATGCGTAGCTGCTGCTGCTTGCTAACGGATTTGTAATTGGTTAGGGGGTATCCGGGTCGTACATTTACAGTTCATGCTTCGTGGCTCGGAACGGTTCCACACAGTGGAGAGCGGTTTTTCCGTTTACCGACTATTACACGACGAACGCATGAGACCGCAAAAACGTACAAGAGCCGTACGAGCTGCATACCCCCTTAGAATGGACGGCAAGCTATATGGACAGCCTTGGTATAGTCCTTGATTCGACCTGCATTCCTTATATTTAATTATTTAGGCAGCAGTTTGTTATCTTGTGTTAGCACTATGGATCCAAAGTTCACCACACCAAATCGCACCAAAACACACGGAAGCACATCATACCACGCCACAGTATCGTCCTTCAACTGAAGACCACTCCCTTGCTGACCGGTGACCAACCAACCAACCATTTCCGAAGCCCAACCCAATCCCCCAGCAGCCAATCAGCGCGAAGAATCGCCACAATCCAATCCCAAGGCGCCTACAGCTTCCTCCCACTTTCTCTTCATCCCTCCCCTTTTCCCGTCCGCATTTCGCGCCGTCTCCGCAGCACGGCGTTACGACGAGAAAAGAGCAGCATCGCTTATGCCGCCACGTCGATCCTACCGCTGATTGCGTAGCGTCGAGCGTCGGACATAATCCTGCTCTGGCTCGCGCGAGTGACGCTTGGCCGATTGTGGAAATCGCTATTGATGCACTCGCACATCCATGGCAACGTAGCCTGAGAAATAAGCTGCTCGCCATCACCCGCTCCTGTAGCCTGTAGGATCCTTCGCGCCGTCGCCTGGTCGCGTCATCATGGACAGTTGCGCGATCAGCCAGAGTTCCCGTGCAACCCGATTCCCGTCTCTGTCGCCTACGCATCAATCCATTGCCTCGACTGTCAGCCAGGCATCCTGTCGCAATGCCGTCTCGAATCCTCAATGGTCGAATGGGCTCGTCGCCGCTGCGTCGGGTGTCCGACCTGTGAGCGCGATCGGCGCCGTTATCCCTGCATCCGTGCCGCATAAGCATGAGCAGGTTCGAGGGAATCTACGATCCCGGATTTCATCGTCGCCGTTCGTTACCAGGCCATGCCACGCTGGCAGCTCCTCCACGTGGACACGGTCGTGTCCGTCCGATAGTTCTTTGCCACGTGGCGTGCGCAGCGCAGGGATTGGAGTGAGATCGACGAGGTTTAGGGTACGGTGTAGCGCGTCTGAGTCAGCATTCCCCGTACACGTGGATCAGGCAGGAAATGTGAGCGACGCGGATAGTGAACGGGAAATCAGCAACAGCAGCCGGAATGTTGAAGGTTCATCGGAATCATCATTCCCTCTGTCCGGCGTATTGCTAGCTGCCACGTGTATGGCGATGGTTGGTGCACAGCTGGCGGCGTCGCTGCCAGCTCACGCCGCTTCTGCGGTGCTGAAAGCCCCGTCAAAAACGGCAGCAGCACCGGCTGTAGCACCGGCTGCAACACCGGCTGTAGCACCCCCAGCAGCACCACCAGTGCCGTCTGCAGCTAGCAGTTCGGATGCAGCAGCATCCGTGGTAAACGCGGCGGCAGCAGCTTCTGAGGTTGTAGGGGCGGAAGCAACAACGACCGCAGCTGCTGCAGCGGAAGGCGCAGCGGCAGGCGGGGGAACAGCCGCGGCGGCAGGCGCAGCGGCGGGCGCAGGCGGAGCAGCGGCGGGGGGGAAGCGCAAGGGGAAGAAGTCCGGGCGGGAGCGCAAGGGGGGCCGGGAGGCGGCGACGATGGAGGTGGAGGAGCGCGAGGCGTGGGCGCGCGGACTCCCCGTGGTGCAGGAGCGCGTGCCGTACTCGCAGGTGGTGGCGCTGAAAAAGTCCAATGAGCTGAAACACATCATCAAACACCCTCAGTCGTCGCTCCAGGTGCGTGGGGTAATGAAGCGCGCCGATGAGGCCAAGGCATGTATATCCTGCGCTCTTCACACTCCCTCTCAACCCCCCCTCTGTCCTGCCCCCTCCCCCACTCCTTTCCCTCTTCTTCCCTTTACCCAGTCGGAGCCAGAGCGAGTGTTTCTGGTCTCAAGGACGACCGCGTGGTGCGCTGCATGCTGCCTGCTCGCACCCAATCTAACCACCTCCACCACCCCCTTCCAACCCCCCTTCCACCCCACACTCTCTCCCCCTCACCAGTCGGAGCCAGATCGAGTGTTTCTGGTCTCAAGGACGACCGCGTGGTGCGCTGCATGCTGCCCAGCTAACCTCCCCCCACCTACCCGCACACTCTCACTCACCCTTCCCATGTCTTCCTTCTCCTTCTCCCCAGTCGGAGCCCGAGAAATGTTCCCAGTGCTGACGACCGCGTGGTGCGCTGCATGCTCTGCATGCAAGCACTTCAACAGCCACCCTCCCCCCACTCTTCCCCCGCCTTCCTTCTCCCCCTTCCAGTCGGAGCCCGAGCGAGTGTTCTTAGTGCTAAAGGACGACCGCGTGGTGCGCTGCATGCTGCCGCCCCTCGACCGCGACCCCTCCTTCTGGGCGGCATGGAAGGATCTCAGTCTAGATTCGCTCACCATCAACGCCTTCTCGCCGCCGCCCGCGCCGCCCATCATGCAACCCTGGGGGCTATGGGGTCCTTCCTTGAAGTTTCTGCAGGACTGGGGGTGGGTGGGGGGAGGGGAGGGCCGGCGGGAGGGGGTTGGGGGGAAGGGGAAGGGGGGAGCGGAGGGGGCGGGGGAGAGTGCGGGGAAGGGGAAGGGGAAGCCGTTGACTGCTAAGCAGAAAGCGGAAGCTGCTATGAAGGAGCGGGTGAGGAGGCTTGCAGAAGAGAGGAAGGAGACGGAGAGGAGGAGGGTGGAGAAGGAAAGAGAGCTGAAGAGGCAAAGAGAGGAGAGGATTCGGATGGAAAGGGAGGAGAGGAGGAGGGCGGAGAGGGAGGAGAGGGAGCAGCAGAAGCAGGAGGAGCAGGAGCAGAGAGGGGGCGGTGCGAAAGCGAAGAAACGGGGAGCAGAGGAGAAGAATGTGGAGGCGAGGAGAAAGAAGCTAGTGGCTCAGGTGGCCAGTCAGGAGCGCTGGGGTTCGTTCTACAAGCAGGCGGCTAATAACGAGGGCGTGCGGTTCCTGATCGGGGCGGCGTTCTTTGTCTTTTTCTACTTTGGGATCATCGTGAACGTGAAGAAGAAGAGGAAGGATTACGAGGATCGGATCAAGCTGGAGCGGGCGGCGGAAGAGGAGAGGAGGAAGATGGAGGGGTGGGAGGAGGACATGGAAGAGATGGAAGCGAGGGAGGAGGAGGAGGCGGAGAAGGAGAAAGAGAGGGAGAAGAAGGGAGGGAAGAAGGCCGGGGTGGTGGTTGCGAAGGGGAAGGATGGGAAGGAGGCGGAGGATGGGAAGGGTGAGGGGAAGGGCGAGGGCGAGGGGGAGGGGAAGGTGGAGGAGGAGAAGAACCAGGCCATTCTGGCCGGCATGCGGTTCATGCGGTCCGGAGCTAAAGTTCGGCGCGCACGCAAGGGCAAGGTGAGAACGAGGGGGGGTTGGGAGTAACATGAGTGGGGGGAGAGGGGCAAGGTGAGTGGAAGCAAAGAGATTGCTTACGCATTTACCAACTCGGTGAGATCCACTGAGGACTCAGCGTGAGGTAGAGGAGGTGGTGGAATTCTTCCAGTCCGCCGAGAAGTACCGCCGCCGCGGCTCCAAGATCCTCTTTTTCTCCCTTCCTCTCTCTCCCCCAACCCCTCCGTTCCGTCCATCCTTGCCCTTCCTTGCCCATCCCATCCCAGCGCACGCGTCGCCCCACCTACCTGGACCTGAGTGCAGAGGTGAAATTCTCCGATGTAGCTGGGTTGGGTGAAATCAGGCGAGAGCTGGAGGAGGTGGTGGAGTTCTTCCAGTCCGCGGAGAAGTACCGCCGCCGCGGCTCCAAGATCCCTTCGGGCATCCTGCTGTGCGGCGAGCCGGGCAGTGGGAAGACTCTGCTGGCCAAGGCGGTGGCAGGCGAGGCGGGAGTGAGCTTCTTCTCCGTGTCGGCGAGTCAGTTTGTGGAGATCTTCGTGGGCGTGGGGGCCAGCCGCGTGCGCGCGCTGTACAACGAGGCCAGGGAGAATGCGCCATCGGTGGTTTTTATTGATGAACTCGATGCCGTGGGACGGCAGAGGGGGCTGACGGAGGGCTCGGGCGGGCAGGAAAGAGATGCCACGCTGAACCAGGTACGTGTGTGTGTGTGCGGGCCTGCAAGGAGCATGGAAAAGGCATGCGAGGGGTGTGGGCGTGTGAGCTTCTTCTCGGTGTCGGCGATTCAGTTCGTGGAGATCTTCGTGGGCGTGGGGGCCAGCCGCGTGCGCGCGCTGTACAACGAGGCCAGGGAGAACGCGCCGTCGGTGGTGTTCATTGATGAGCTGGACGCTGTGGGACGACAGAGAGGGCTTACGGAAGGGTCTGGCGGGCAGGAGAGAGACGCCACGTTGAACCAGGTGAGGAGGGAAGCAAAACAGGCTGGATGCTGTTTCCGGTGTGTGTGAGAGCATGTGGGATAAGCAGGGAAGAGTAGGGAGAATGCACCGTCGGTGGTGTTTATCGATGAGCTGGTGCTGTGGGGCGACAGAGAGGGCTCACGGAGGGGTCTTTTGAGGCGCCTCAAAAGGAGGGGTCTGGCTGGCGGGCAGGAGAGAGACGCCACGCTGAACCAGGAATGTGTGGGCATGCAGGGGCATGTGCGGGAGTGTGTGACTTCTGAGTCGACTCACAAGTCACCAGCAGAGGGGGCTCACGGAGGGGTCGGGCGGGCAGGAGAGGAATGCCATTCTGAAGCAGGTGGTTGTGCTCATGAGAATGAGCATGTGAACGTGTGCATGCAGGGGAGGAGCGTGAGATTCTCAATCAAACAGTTACCGCCCTGGTGCCCTGGTGCATTATACCCGAGCAGAGCCTGTCAAAGCTCTGGGCTTCCGCCATTGCAATGTGTTGAATGAACTGGCGAGAGAAACATGTTGCGGTGCGGGGGAAGGCCAAGCGATCCACTTCCGTTACGCGCCTCTCTTTCTCATTCCATTTTTCTCTCTGTAATTGTTGTAGCCCACATCCATCATTTCCTTTCATTATTCCCACTCACCTGCTCTTTCCAACCTGCTTCCCTCCCTCCCACCCCAACAGCTGCTCACGTGTCTGGATGGATTTGAGGGCAGAGGTGACGTCATCACCATAGCAGCCACCAACCGGCCGGATATTTTGGACGCTGCCCTGGTGCGCCCGGGCAGGTTCGACCGAAAGATTTACATCCCGAAGCCGAGCCTCAAGGGGCGAGCTCAGATCCTGGAGGTGAGGGGACTTGCAGTTGCTGACTGGCATCTGTTGTTTTCACCTGAGCTTTGCTTCTCTCACCTTTCACAAGTGATGATGCTGGTCGTGGTGGTTGTGATGGTAGTTGTGTTGCGATGTTTGCGCTTGTTGGTTGTTCGGTGGTGGGATGTGCGAGTGGGAAAGGAAACATCAAAGTCATGTCTTGTGCCATATTAAGTAATGGTGGCTTTAAGGTGATCCACGTGGAAAAATGTGTTATGGAATATGCCACTGAGTCTGCCTATAATACGATTACACCTCCCCCACGTGTACAGCCACAGCAATAATCACATTCCGTACCATCACATTGCGTACAATCACATTCCATGGAATCACATTCCATACAATCACACTCCCTAAATCACACACACCCCTCTCTCCGCCCCCCTGGCAGGTGCACAGTCACAACAAGGTGCCGGATGATTACTTGGTATCGACTCAAAGGTCACCACATCTTAAACATCACACTCCTTATAATCACACACCCCTCTCTCCCAACCCCCTCGCAGGTGCAGTCACAGCAAGGCCCTGGATGATCACGGGTGGTTTATAAGTTTTCGAGTCAACTCTACTGTTACGTCACCTCATTCCGTACAATCACGTTGCATACAATCACATCTGTCTCTTCCCCCCCCACAGGTGCACAGCCGCAACAAGGTGTTGGATGATGACGTGGACTTTGAGGCGGTGGCGCAGGTGACAGATGGCATGTCGGGTGCTGAGCTGGCGAACGTGGTTGACGTGGCAGCGCTCAGAGTGCTGCGGGAGAACCGATCCGAGGTGAGTGGTGAAGTGCGGTGAGGTGGGGTGAGTGATGGATGTGCGGTGAGTGGTGGATGTGCGGTGAGTGGTGGATGTGCGATGAGTGGTGGATGTGCGGTGAGCGGTGGATGTGCGGTGAGCGGTGGATGTGCGGTGAGTGGTGGATGTGCGGTGAGCGGTGGATGTGCGGTGAGCGGTGGATGTGCGGTGAGTGGTGGATGTGCGGTGAGCGGTGGATGTGCGGTGAGCGGTGGATCAAGGTGCGTCTAAGCAGCTTCTGCGCACCTCCTCTCACTCCCCCCCTACCCCCCGCCCTCCGTTATCCTGTCCCCCCCATCACACCATTCGAACAACAAGCTGCAGACGGCCACTCTTGAGGGTGGTGGGTCAGGGGATGCACGGGTACCTATGGCCTCCCCATTCTCCAAACGGCCCCATCCATCCCCCCTTTTCCTGCCCCGCCATGCCTCAAACCACCACTCCCGTGCTAAGGGGTGTCCGTATGCTCCCCTCCACTCTCCTCCAAACTTCCCCTCCCATTCATCCTCTTCCCCTCCACTCCTCCTCCACTGCATCTCATCTCATCTCCCATCAGATCACAACGGGCGACATACTGCAGGCGACCATCCTGGAAGGAAGGGGTGGTGTGGTGGTGTTCTTAACCCAACCTCGAAACGCCCTCACACCTTCTCTTGCGTCCCTTTCCCCTCCCCGCCACCCCTCTTACCCCTTCTTTCGCTTACCATCAGATCACAACAGATTGAAATGCTGCAGGCGGCCATGCCGGAGGCTGGTGGCTATCCGCCCCCTACTCCCTCCCCCCTCCCCCCCATCAGATCACAACAGACGACATGCTACAGGCCGCCATGCTGGAGGAGAAGAGGTAAACCTTTTCCCAATCCTCTTTTCTATCGTACCCACATCTTCCCCCCAACATTTTCCCCTTCCCTCTCATCAGATCACGACAGACGACATGCTTCAGGCCGCCATGCTGGAGGAGGGGGGGTACCCCTCGCCCCATGAGGGCAGTCCAATCAGGCAGCGCCAGCTGGCACTCAACGAGGCGGCGCTGGCCGTGGTGGCGTTCAACTTCCGCGACTTCCAGAACATTCAGCTGGTGGGTTGGTGAACATTCAGCTGGTGGATTGGTGAATGTTCAGTGAACATTCAGCATGTGGATCGCAGGGTGGTGAGTTTTCAGTGAACATTCAGGAGTTGGACTACACGGTGGTCATGGAACATTCAGCGTGTGGCTCGGGCCCTTTAAATGTGGCTCTACCAGATGTGTCGCGGGTGTTAAGGTCTTTCGTGAACATTCAGCAGGTGGCATGTGGTTGAATGTTCAGCAATCCGATTCCAATTGCAAATGCTGAGACGAATATTCAGTGATCGTTCCACACGTTCCGTCAGTTGTGACAGTTCATCCAGTAAGTGGGTGGGTGGGCAGGTGGTTGATTGAGCAGGTGGTAAATGCTTGTCGTTAACTCCTTAAGGAGCGAGGTGGGTCATTCGCTTCCTAAGGCAATCCAATCCACAAGCCCCCTCTCCATCCTCTTCCCAATCTCTTGCCCTTCCTCCTCCTTTTTCTCCCTGCCCCACTAATCCAGATCACGGTGGTGCCGCGAATGACGGAGGAGAAGGGTTCAGTGCGGTACAAGCTGGTGGACACGCAGAAGATGAAGGCCAACTTCATCTCTGCCTCGTGCCTTCGGGACTTCATCACCGTTCAGCTGGCGCCCATGGTGGCCGATGAGATGTGGAACGGGGCCGAGGAGGTGAGGAATAGCAGTTATGATAGCAGATAAGCTCGCATCTGAGAGATTGATCTCATCACGGAGCAGCTCGCACCGTGTGCAGCAGCAGTACATGCTGAACATCGCACAGCATAACAGGCCTTTTCTCCACCTCGTGCCTGCGCGACTTCATCACGGTGCAGCTGGCGCCCATGGTGGCTGATGAGATGTGGAACTGGGCAGAGGAGGTGAGTTGGATGGTGGATTCCAGATGTTGGAATGCTGAAAGGCTTGATATGCTGAATAGATCACAGCTGGCCGATGGGGAGCGCAGCAGAAGAGTTGGCGGGTTATGATATGGCCTGTCCTACACTGTCGTGGTAGCTATACGTTGGGTGTTAGTTGTTGTTCTTTCCAGCAGGGGTCATGCAATGCTGCTCCCATCAATCACTGCCCTGCTTGTCAAACCAGCTCAGATCTCGACCTTTTCCTGCCCTGTTTTTTGAGAATTCTCAGCTCATATCAAAACATACGCAGCTCATATCTCGACCTTTTCCTGCCCTGTGTCCAACCAATCCCCAGACCTGCACCATCTGGGCGGACCACGCTGACGTGGCACGCCGCACAGCACGCCAGGTGGCGCTCAACGGTTTGTCGGCGCCGAGTGAGGAAGGAGCGCTGTACGGCATCGGCGTGGCGGCGGTGGATGCGCCGTGGCGCCACGAGGCCGTTGATGCCGATGCCTCCCGCATTCTCGAAGAGTGCCGTGCCAGGGCCGCTCAGGTGGGTGCGCTTGAGGTGGGGCTGTCAAGTTGGGCTTGTTTTGTTTCAACCCTCTCCTCACTCCCCTGACCCCCACTCCTCTCCCTTACCCCTCCCACTCCGGGTAGTTCAATTCTTTCAGCGCTAGCATTAGTGAACAAACTGGGCAAGCTTTCTCCTATCCTCTACCCCTCCCCTCCTCCATCCCTCCCACCTTTCCCTTTCCTCAGATCCTGAGGTGCAACCAGCCTGGTGGACAAACTGGTGGACGTGAAGGAAAGCTCACCCTACCCCCCCCCCTTTTCCCTCTCACTTTCAGGAAACACCTGTCCCCTCTTCTTACCCCTCTCCGCCTCCCCCCCTTGGAATCAGATCTTGAGGCGCAACCGCAGCCTGGTGGATGCACTAGTGGACGATCTCACCCTCTCCCACTTCCAACCCCTGTCCCCATCCTACACCCCAATCTCTCCCATACCTCCCCACCCCTCAGATCCTGCGGGGCAACCGCAGCCTGGTGGATGCACTAGTGGACAAGCTGATAGAGGAGAAGGCGATGGGCGGCGAGGAGTTTGCCAGCCTGGCGCGGCAGTACGGGTCGTTTGACACGCCGCCGCCCTCCCCCGTGGAGATGCGGGACCGCCAGCTGGCACGGTTCCGAGAGGCCATGATGGCCGGCGAGAAGGAGCGGGCGGCACAAGTGCTGCTGGCCGACCCTGTTGCCGTGGAGTGATGGTGCTGTTGGTGATGTTGGTGATGATGCAGTGAAGCACACTGGAGTCCTGGCTGTGTAGTGGCTGTTGCTGTTATTGTGAAGTGACATGGCTTTGTGCACTCTAGTGACGTACGGTATTAGCGACTTGTGAGCTCTGTGCTGGTATTAGCATGGACCTCACGCTCGCGCACGGCGCTGCAGCATCTCACACCATGGTTTCTTTATGTATCCGTTCTAAACAAGCTAGTTATCCATAACTCCATCCGTTACAAGGTCTGTCCAATCGACGCCAAAGTTTTACGTATCTGACTTATGCTCTTTGTTCAACATACCGCATCCTGAATCTAACGAGGTTTTATTTCAGCTTAATACACCAATCGCATCGTATTGCATGAGCTTCCAGCTCATAACCATGGCGGTCCCATTTTCGCGTCGAGCCTAGACCCCCTGAGTTGTCCCCGGAAGCTGAGCAACTGCCCACCGCACTGCACGTTCTGTTTCGCAGCTATGGTTGTCACAATGTACAAATTCTCCTGTTCCAGTCTCTTTCGACGAGTTTCACGGCGACTCATATTCTTCCGCTCGTCTCGTTGTGCTCTCATTCACCCTCGAAGTAGTTCTGACCACGTCAATGGACGGATCAGGTCCGCATCTAGTAGAACTAATACGTTACGTTTGTGAGACTCGTTCCAACTTCGTTAACGAATTTCTGTTGGCATTCATGAATGTTTGGGTGATTCGATTGAGAGGCTCGACCTCAAGCCGGCGACCTCTTGGCTTTATTTCTTGACACTGCTGACGTCATGATTGTCGGTTCGATTTTGGATCGTCCCTCCTTTCTTCGTTGAGTCAATCGAACAACCATTTCTGAAAGTATCTTGTCCATTCCGTCCCTTGTCGTCTCAGATGCAGTGGCCATGCTACCAGCTCCCCTCTGGCACCACATATTCCGCCGCCTGCTGCTGCCGCCGTCCCAGACGGATGACCCCGGGATCATCACAGGGGATCGCGATGAGTTCGACAACCACACACTTTTCCTTTGCTCCTTGTCATCTAACTCGGCTTCATACTCCCCTGAAGCTCCTGAAACTTGTACCTCTGCTTCCTTGCTTTAAGATTGACCGCTTTGACGTCGAGTCCGCGATAGAGACTCTCCATCCGGGCACTCCTCCGTGGCCGTACCTTTGCAGCTCCGTTTGCCTTCATTCCCTTTGCCATAAGGGTTTCTTTTGCAGCTTTAACTCCGTCACACTCCACGCTTGCAGCTTCATCTTCAATGATGATTGTTGCCGCTTTGGTGTTGACACGAAACTCCTTGTTCGGCTTCACCACCTCCCCCACGTACACATCCTCCACGTGCGCATCCTTCTCCACACAAGACGACACATCTCCCTTGTTATCAACCTCATAAACCTCAATGAATGATGACACCTTACCTTCCACCTTATAGAACTCACGGTCATCAAACACATCATCCATGTCATTCAATGCAATCAAGCTCATCTCATAAAAACCGTCGTTGAAGTAGCCATCCGCATACTTCTCCCATGAAGGACCAAAGACTGAAACCTTACCGTTGTCATAGAACACCTTGCACGCCAAATCATCAAGCTGTGATTGGCTAATCAGATTCACCTTCAAGTCCTCAACCAACAAAACATTCTCAAGTCTCATTCCACCATAAGGACTCTGTAGCACATCACCTTCTCCCGTCACTGGAAGCTTCGCGTTGTTACCTTGAAGAATAAATTTCTCACTTGACTCTCTCATGTTCTCCACCAACTCGGACCTATAAGTCATGTGACGAGTGCAGCCACTATCCAAGAGCCACGATGTTATAGTCACAATAGGCTTGAATGTGCCTAAAACGAAAGATAGAGAGCACCGACGGATTTCTGCACAGCGGCTTCAAACGTTGATAGCGTTCTGGTCACAGCTGCAAATGACTTGATTCAAATTGGATCTGGAGCGTCTTCACGTCGTCTACAATTAGCAATTTAGATTGCACGATTTGATAAAGAATTGACGATACAGCGTCGGTTTGAACGAACGGTACTATGGCAGCCACTATAGTCTTAGAACACCAGATAGGAAGAGTTATGAGTTGGGAATGACTCCCAGCTCCAACAAACCCCAAGAGCCGAGGTACAGTGATGTGGAACAGTTCCACACTGTCCCCAACCACGAAGGGTCTCGAAACTACCCTTCACTAGGGCCTACACCAAGTGAAATGTTACACTACACAAAGTAATGTAACTATCTTCAATATCTTGAGGTGTACCCTTTTGGCGAGCTTCGAAATCACTTGAGGCTTGACACCAAGGCTCGGGCTCTTCATCACAAACTCATCCTTGAGTTCTTGATGGGTCTGCTGCACACACCTGCGACACGCCGAACGTTCGACACAGGACAAAATAGAAACCGCGCACGACAAAATAGAAACCGCGCGCGAGACACAAACGACCGCGTAACACGCGTCTAGCGATAACTCGCTATTGACTCGACACACACACTCGACATCATGACTCAACATTCACACACAATTATAAGCTTGAAATATATATTATCCCATGCCCTCATACCATTCCATACACACACACATTCACGCACACGGACAACAAGCCGAGTGCAAATCGTAGGGTTGCACCAACAAACTCCCCCTCGGATTGTTGGCCTTAGGATATGTTGCTCTCTCAGTTCAGAGCCATCCCAGCCAGCTTGCAACACTTCCAATGCTGCTGCTCCACCAGCCTCTTGGTCATCATGTCAGCCGGCTGCCCCGTGGTCTTCACGTAGCGCAACTCAACTTCACCCGCGGTTACCATGCTCCTCGTCCAATGCCACTTCAGCCTCATGTGCTTCGTGAGTCCATGCAACACAGGGTTCTTAGCAAGAGCAATGGCACCCTGGCTGTCACAGTACAGTAGGGTAGGTCCTTGCTGCTCCTCCCCCAATTCAGCCAACAAACGCCGCTGCCACACAATCTCCCGTACGGCACGGAAGAGTGCCATGTACTCGGACTCCACCGAGCTCAAAGCTTGGTCAACATGCTTCTTGCTCTCCCAAGCAGTTGGGCCTCCACCAACACAGCATATGAAGCCTCCCACACTTGTCATGTCCTCTGGTTCTGATGCATATGAAGCATCCGAGTAGGCGGTGAGGAACAAACGCCCGGGTTCAACACCATCCGCGCCCTTTTGGCGCCTTTGTGCCGCCGCCGAGTATTGCAGCCCAACGGTCGGTGTTTGGCCAAGATACTTGGCCACCCTCATTCCAGCTGCTACCTGCTCCTCATTAGGGCATTGCACAACCCTAGCCAGCTGCCCGGTAGCAAACGCGACGTCCGGTCGGGTGTTTACCGCCGCATACATGAGGCTGCCCACCAACGAGTGAAATCGGCGCCTCTCCTCTTCACCAACGCTCTCCTCCTCTGGTCCCTTCACACACTTGAACCCAGAGGGAAAGGGTGTAGCCACATGGCCTTCACTCTGCCCAAAGTTGGCAGCCAATGCCTCCAGGTACTTTCGTTGATGCACCCGCATGCACCGCTTCTCCACATCTCGTTCGATGTGGAGCCCAAGGTAGAAGCTCACGTCACCAAGGGCCTTGCACTTGAACTTGTCTTGAAGCTTCAGCATCAGCTCCTTCACAAGGTCAGAAGAGGGTGAGAAAATGAGGATGTCATCCACATAAACCACCATGAAACTCCTCTGCTCCCCCTCGCCAAGCATGAACAAGGAGTGATCGGCCGTTGAGGGAGTGAAGCTGATCCCCTCCAACACTTCGCGCAGCTTCATGTACCATTGCCTAGGGGCCTGCTTCAGCCCATAGAGGGCCTTCTTCAGCTTCCACACTCTGCCACTACCATCATCAAACCCCTCTGGCTGCGCCATAAAAATCTCCTCCTCAAGGATGCCGTTAAGGAATGCCGTTACGATGTCCATTTGCTTTACTACCCATCCTTTGATGGCGGCTCCCGCGAATAGGGTTCGCAGCGTCGTCGGCTTCACCACAGGGGCAAACAACTCCTTGAAGTCCACCTTCTCCTTCTGCTGGTACCCCTTGGCTACAAGCCTAGACTTGTAGCGCTCGATCTTGCCGTCGGCATCCGACTTGATTTTGAAGAGCCACTTGGACGTTATCGCCGTACGCCCCTCCGGTAGCTCCACCAATTCAAACGTGTCATTCTCCTCAATGCTCTTCAGCTCACTCTCCATGGCCTTCTTCCACTCCTCAGCATCACTACTCTCCAAAGCCTCCTTGAGAGTTGCTGGTTCTCCCGGCATCTCCACCGGAGAGAAGAACGCGAAGGCACACTCCTCGTAGTCACTCTCCTCGTCGTCTCCGACCATCATTGCCGCTCCGGCCAGGGCTGTCTTGCCCTGCTTTCCCGGCGCATCATAGGTCAGCCTATTAGGGGGTTGAACTCTCCTCTTCCCCCTTCCTTCCTCCTCAGCTGCAGGGACTTGAAGGCCTTGGCGTTGCTGCAGTGTGGCTCGAATCCGTGGAGCACTCGTAGTACGGGAAGGGAGTGACGGTGCACGCTCGCTCACTTGCTGCACCTCCTCCTCTTCTTCCTCTGCATCATTGGCCTCCTCTCCCCCATTCACAAGGGAGGATTGCCTTGTGATTGTGCTGCCGCTGCTCAGTTCCAAAGGCAGCTCCACATGCTCCAAACCGGAACTCTTCACCTCCCCAAACCGCACGCCTATCTTCGCCTCATTCTCCGCCTTCCAATCCTTGTACATGAAGTTCTCCATGAACTTGCAGTCCCTGCTCACCAAGAACTTCTTGGTGAATGGGTCCCAAAGAAGCCATCCCTTGCTGTTTTGAGCCATGCCCAAGTGCACGGCCCACACCGCCTTGGCACCAAGCTTGTTGTGCCGAAGATGCTTAGGCACGAGCGCCATGCACATGCACCCGAACACCCGAAGCATATCCACCTTTGGCTTCCTTCCTAGCCACTCCACATAGGGCACCCATTTGTCTGCTCCCACATGAGTCAAGGCTCTGTTCTT